CAAAACTGTAGGAGGAGTAGGATTTTGTAAAATTGTTTACAGACAGACGGACAGACAGACAGACAGACGGACGGACGACGGACACCTTACTATCGCATAAGCTCTTCTGGTCTCTGACCAGTAGAGCTAAAAACCGATACACAGAATTGTGTATCTTAGTGTAGTCTACTTGTGTGCCAAGTTATATTGAAATCAGTCTAAAACTGTAGGAGGAGTAGCATTTTGAAAGAATTTCACAGAAATTTCTATTTTTAGTAACCACGGCAACACCGTTCATCGAAATCAAAAACCGATACACAGAATTATGTATCTTAGTGTAGTCTGCTTTTGTGCCAAGATATATTGAAATCAGACTAAAACTGTAGGAGGAGTAGCATTTTGAAAGAATTTCACAGAAATTTCTATTTTTAGTAACCACGGCAACACCGTTCATCGAAATCAAAAACCGATATACAGAATTATGTATCTTAGTGTAGTCTACTTGTGTGCCAAGTTATATTGAAATCAGACCAAAACTGTAGGAGGAGTAGCATTTTGAAAGAATTTCACAGAAATTTCTATTTTTAGTAACCACGGCAACACCGTTCATCGAAATCAAAAACCGATACACAGAATTATGTATCTTAGTGTAGTCTACTTGTGTGCCAAGTTATATTGAAATCGGACCAAAACTGTAGGAGGAGTAGCATTTTGAAAAATTGTTTACAGACAGACAGACAGACAGACGGACGGACGACGGACGCATTACTATCGCATAAGCTCTTCTGGTCTCTGACCAGTAGAGCTAAAAATAGACCTAGATGGCAAAGTTATGTTAAAACATAGTTTATTATGATAGTTTAAAATTTGTTCTTGTACTAAACAGTTTTACGTGTGAACATCTTATTTTCTACATTCACATTGGGTTTGCGTCACCCATTATCATATTTATAGATATCACCTCTCGGCACACCTCGGCCGATTCATACTGGCAACGGAATCAGCAAAGGTTTGTCGAATAAGATTATTTAGCACATGTATGCTGACGATGCAGTGTGGTCAGTTAAAATCATTTGTGTTTTAATTGGATTATATGGATTATATTTCATGAATTCGTTGTCACGACCTATGACATTCGGTAAGTACAAGATTTAGTATAGATTGCATAAAAATAAATAAATGCAAATGGTTAGGTTGAAGTTCAAAAAGGGTCAAAGATCATCGCATGCCACAGTCGACAAATTTCACATTGTCAAGTTATCTCCCGTTGCGGACATTCAGTATATACAGGCGCAGATCCAGAATTTTTTTTTCAGAAAGGGGAGGGGGGGGGGGTGTCACACCTCAGTCAAAAAAATCAGCCCAAGATTTCCTGAGAAGCAAATAAAAAATAATAATAATAACAATGATGGTGGAGTCCCTGTTTTCTAAGGGGGAGGATGTCCAAAGTCATTTTTATTCTCTACAGTACATAGTCTTATTTAAATAACTGGGGGGGGGGGGGGGGGGGGGGGGGGGGTCTGATCTCCCTAGCCACTGACTCCCTGTACCTGAAATGACAATTGATCTTATGACTCCATAATAGTAGAAAATTTTTTCATTTGACTATATATACATATTTTGTTTCCTATGTTTATGTATGTTTGTCTGTCCACAGAAACTTTAACCTTGCCCATAAGTTTTAAGTGGATTGGGCTATACACATGGCTTCAATATTTCATAGGTAAATTTCTTTTGGCAAAACCTTTTAATGGGTACCACCAATTTTGACCTCTTAATCTCTTGACCTTGGAGTTTGACCCACTTTTACAAGAAAAATACCTTAAACTTGGCCTAAGTTTTGAACAGGCGGTGCTAGGACTTTCATGCTCTAACAATTTTGTGTAATCATTGTGAACTTTCAACAGGTATAATTATTTTTGACCTAGACCTTAGAGTTGAACCCAATTTAATTTTAACCTTGGCAATAACTTTTGAACAGGTGAGGAAGTTCTAGGGATTTCTCTCTTTTTTCACATGTGTATTCCTTGTGACAAGACTTTCCCTTTGATACCAACAATTTTGACCCTTTGACCTTGACCTTGGAGTTTGACTTACATTTGAGAAACTTCAACCTTTGCCAAAAGCTGCCATAACAGTTGCTGTCACAACAAACAAACAAATTACTAAAAAAACACAGTATACATGTACATATTTTATATTCAACAGATATACATCTGGTCATATCTCTAGTTCTCCCTTGAATGAGACACGGTGATATAAATTTTAAAAAATAATTATGATAAGAGTTGAAAAGGTTGTGCATATTAAAATATACTAAGCTCTGCGGATGAATTAGATATACCAGTTTAGATATACCAGTTTAGCTTAATTTTGCTACCCAAAGCACCTTGATTAACTATTTATAAGCATACTGTTTTCTGAAATGTACTGATTTCTGTTGTCCATCTGTTTGTCTGCAAACTTTTCACATTAACTTCTTAAGAACCACTGGGCCAATTTCAACCAATTTACATTTAAATATGCAGGGGACTTTTTCCAACATAAATCTTCTTCTCAAGAACAGCAAAGACATTTATTGTCCCCCATTTTCGCTAAGGTAGGGTACATTAAATCTCATTTGTTTGTCAATCTGCCCATCTGTCACAATAAATTTAACCTTGCAATTGGTCATCATGGTCGTATATTTTGAATGAGAAGAGACAGGACTTTTATATTAAACATGTGTATTAGTATTAAATGGGACAATACCATTCTAAATACACTATGATTTTTATTACCCATGACCTTGAAGTTTGACCTAATTTCATAAACAAATTAATTGCTTTGAATTAATCATTTTGAAAGATAAATGAAAGGGCATTCATATTACCTGTGATAAGACCTTTCCAAATGTATCATGACTTTTTGACTCTGTGACCTTGACCTTGAAGTTTAACTTAGTTTTCATTAATGTTGTATTTCCTTTTCATTGAGAAGAGATTCGACTTTCACATTTCAAGTGAACATTACCCATAACAAGATCTTTCCCAACATGCTATGATTTTTTACCCCTTGACCTTGATGTTTTAACAAAATTTCAAAAGAGTGAACTCTCCCAAAAGAGGATAAGACCACTGTTTAAAACGAAAAAGGAGTTTAGTGAAGACTGGGCTTTTTCCATAAAAAACGTCATTTTTCGACCCTCATTTGACCCCCCGGGCAAAATCAAAATTCCGAAACCTAACTGCACATCTACATGACCCCACCAACCATCTCCCAAAAGATGATTAGGCTGCTGAATAAAATGTAAGAGGAGTTCAGGGAAAAATGGGGCTTTTAGCATAAAAAACGTCATTTTTCGACCCCCATTTGACCCCCTGGGGCAAAATCAAAATTTAGAAACCTTACTACACATCTGCATGACCCCACCAACCATCTCCCAAAAGATGATTAGGCTGCTGAGTAAAATGTAAGAGGAGTTCAGGGAAAACTGGGCTTTTTGCATTAAAAAAGTCATTTTTCAACACCCATTTGACCCCCCAGGGCAAAATCAAAATTCTGAAACCTTACTGCACATCTACATGACACCACCAACCATCTCCCAAAAGATGATTAGGCTCCTGAGTAAAATGTAAGAGGAGTTCAGGGAAGACGGGGCTTTTTGCATAAAAAACATCATTTTTCGACCCCCATTTGACCCCCCGGGGCAAAATCAAAATTCCAAAACCTTACTGCACATCTACATGACACCACCAACCATCTCCCAAAAGATGATTAGGCTGCTGAATAAAATGTAAGAGGAGTTCAGGGAAGACGGAGCTTTTTGCTTAAAAAACGTCATTTTTCGACCCCCATTTGACCCCCCCAGGGCAAAATCAAAATTCCGAAACCTTACTGCACATCTACATGACACCACCAACCATCTCCCAAAAGATGATTAGGCTGCTGAGTAAAATGTAGGAGGAGTTCAGGGAAGAAAAGTGTGACAGACGGACGGACGGACGGACATGAGTAACAACAATATACCCGAACTTTCTTTAGAAAGTGCGGGTATAAACATGAATTCGTCAATACGAATTAACGTTTTATGGGACGTTTTAAAAAGTCAGGAGAAAAACAGATCGAGGGAATTTACCTACAGTAAGATACCTTAAGGGGAAACGCCATTTGCAACCATTTTAGCGATTGGCAGTAGAATCCAGACATAACATCGATTATTTAACTTGGCAGACTGGGGTTTGACAATAAAACATCATTCTTCATTGTTTAATTTAAATGGCAAATGGTTTATTTTTAATACACCTTTAGATCATATTGCATGCAATTATTGTATCGAAATCATCCGACTGTAAAAAAAATGCATTTTTTTCTTTTTCCTTAACATTAAATAGATCGAAATAATAAGAATCGACTTTCTTTCAATTTCCATAATTTTTGGCTCCTGTCCTTATAAAAAGCTCATTTGTTAGTTCACCTGCCCGACTCTAACCAAAACTCTACCCGTTGTTGAGACTTTCGAACGAGAAGAGTTATTGCCGTCAAATTTCACAGTGCATTTCTTAAATTATATACTACAAGTTCATACCACATGACCTTTACTTTCAAATTTAATTCTTTTTCAAAAGAACTTTTAAAGTAAATATGAGAGAAGACTCAGTTTTCAATTCAGTTGTGCATTTCTTGAGACAAGGTCTTTCCGAATACACTTTGACTTTACACCTCATGTCCTTGAATTTTGCCCTACCTTTAAAGAAATTCAACTTTGATAATAACTTCTATTGAGGAAAGAGGGATTCCATATTGATATTTGCAATAAATTAATGAAAATAATGAACAGTGATCACTCTGAAAATTATAATTATTTCAACAGCAAAAGTTTTGAGCAGAGATAACACAGAGCTGGGATCATGTGTGCATAAACTGTGATACTCCAACCCTTGAAGTTTGAATTTGAAATTTAGTGCTTAGCTATATATAGCCATTATTGAATTAAGACAATAAATTTCCTTTGAATTGTAATAATTATAGTACACTCTTACTTATCATTGTAGATTGGTTTTTCTGTTGTAGTGATCGGAGGTGTACAACAGAAGTCTCCATGTTGTCCACAACAGCCGTGTTCACAATGGACGTAAGTTCGTAATTTGTAAATTATTCCGAACCTATTCTGTCTGTAGGTGATTCTCGGGCACTCGTATCCTTCAGCATAATGTACAACTAAGATAAGTAGAAATACAAAACAAAAATAAGTAGAAATACAAAACAAAAATAAGTAGAAATATAAAACTAAAATAAGTAGAAATACAAAATATCGATAATGTTCAAAACTTTTTTTCTACAATTGACTAATTAGTTTTTCCTGATTATGCAAAGACTAATGAATTATTCTGAGTATCTGAACAAATTGTTCTGAGTATAATATATTATACAGTTGACTGGTAATTTATTCTGGGTATTTGATGTATAGAGGTAACAGCTTAATACATGTATACTGAATTTCTTTTACTGAGGACTATTTACTTATATTGATAATCTATTACTGAGGACCATTTAGTTACACTGAGTATCTGTTATTGATTGAGTACTAATTAGTTTTACTCCTAGGACTGAGGACTAAGAAGTTATATACTGAATCGATCTCTTTAGCTGGGGACTAGAATAGTTTTATGAATATTACTGAGGACTAATAAGTATTACTGAATATTTTTTTTACTGGGCAACAATTAGTTATACTGAATATCTTGAGGACGAATAAGTTTTTTCAGTATCTCTGATTTTGAACTAATTAGTAATACTGAGTATCTATTACTGAGGACAAATTAGTTATACTGAGTATCTTTTAATGAGGACTAGTGAGTTATATTGATTATTAATAAATGAGGACTAATTTAGTTATACTGAATATCTAATACTGAGGACTAATTTGTTGTACTGAGTATCTATTAATAAGGACTAATTAGTTTTACTGAATATCTATTACCGAGGACTAATTAGTTATACTGAGTTTCTTTTAATGAGGACTTAGTCTATAAAGTGATATTGATTATTACTAACTGAGGACTAATTAGTTTTACTGAATATCTATTACTGAGGACTAATTTGTTATACTGAGCTTCTGATACTGAATCACTCGAATCCAGGTGCATAAGTTACTTGTACAATCAACATCAGTAAAGACGAAATTTTACTACAAAGATAAATATCGAGTTACACTTACTGATATGGTATACTACAAAGTTTACTTGAGTATCATTGATTCGGAAGACTAATTAATTATCCTAGGTACGGTGTCTAATACCTAAGATTATTTACTAATCTTGAGTATTTGCTTTCAAAATTTAATTTGTCATCCTGAGTTTCCAATACCAAAATTAATTAAAGCAATATGAGCTGCATTTATGAAATATTGATTTTGCCGTTAAAATATGATGTTTTAAAAAATCTGTATGTAAAACAACCCTTTATGATAAATAAGAACAAAACGAAGTACTAATTGTTTCTGTAGAAAGAATTCTGTACAATAAAATGTATAGTATTATATAAGAAATCAATATTGTAGATGACGACAATAATTGATCAAAGCTTATAGATAGTTCTACTGCAAATATGAACGACTAAAATTTATTGATATTAAATTAATATTCTTTTTATAATGTTGTAATAGTGAATTACAATATTGTATTAACAAAAATTTCCAACATAATTAAAGTTGTAGCTCGTATTGATTTAACTAATTAATAAGAGGAATTGTCAGTTATCTTGGGTGTCTGATCAATATCAATTACTGTAACATTCCCCCCAAGTCAAGCCATGCCCTGGAAGGTACCCGCGAAATTTTCATTGAAAATGATCGGTATACTTGAAGGAGTTGCTTTTGTATATTACTATAGTATAAGGCTTACTTCCTTGGATGTATCATCAGGACGTATCATTTTCGCGCGTAGAACTTTTGAAACATACATGGAAAGCTTTGTTACAACGCACTTTGAAAAATTACGCACTTTGAAAAATTTTTTCAAAGTGCGTTAATTTTTGGGACCAGGTTAACGCACTTTGAAAAAATTTTTCAAAGTGCGTTGAATTTGGGACCAAATCAACGCACTTTGAAAAATTTTTTCAAAGTGCGTTAAGACTGTACATCATAATTTTACACCATGTAAACATTTAACGCACTTTGAAAAAATTTTCATGAAACAAAAGGAATTAGACTTATATTTTAGAAATAGACAACAGTATTACCCCCTCGCAACGTATGATGGGAAATAGTGATGCGATTATGTGTTTTATTACTTTAAAAATTTATATGTATGTTTTGTGTGTGTGTGTGGAATTGATGTAATTTGTATCGCGATCGATGTCAAATGCTGCCTTGATTTACTGAACATTCTTTTTGGGAAGGAATGCTCCGCTTTGCTGTGCCCTTACTTTGATGTGTTTCTTTCTAAAAACTGATGGATTGAAGAACCTAGAAACGGACAACAAAGAAAAGACTGGCTGAATTAAGGCCTATCAGCTCAACTCTTAATCATTCCCACCCAGATGTATCTATTTCTATAACTCCTAAACTTAAGTGTCAATGATATTTGAACAAAAAGAGCATTCTAAAAACAGTACATGTATAAGCACTGTACAAGGAAGTCTTTAGTTAATCGAAATTTTGTTCTTTTAAATCTCAAAGTCTATTTATGTTCATTTTCAGGAAAATAAGAATATTAATTACATTAATTACATTTAATTATATTAAGTACCTGTCTGCTTTTCGATGTTAATTTAATACCATATCTGATAATCTCTCTATTAACGTCCAGGTATTTAACTTACATGATATTTTCATAGGAAATGTTCATTTAACATTATCTAATATCTTTTCGCATATTTTACGCAAATAAATAAAGCATATATGAATTAATAAAATACAATTATTTAGTTTTAAATAGCTTTAAAATTTGTGAAAAATAAGCATTTTTTTCGTTTTTTGTCTATAATCATATGCCCCCTCCCCCCGTGAAACACAAAAAGCATTGGCAGAAATTTGTAAAATGACAGTCCATATTATCTGTAAAAAGGAATTTTTGTTTCACAGGGGGGGGGGGGTGTTTTAAAAATATTTCAGTTTTCCGTTGATTTCTATAGTGGAAAACACAAGTTTTGCCAAAATTATAGAGTTATTTCTCTTTGGTATCCAAAAAAAGTAAGGTTTTATAAAAATTCATATAAATATGTATAAAAATTTTGAGAATCATTCCAAGTTGATAACTTTTGAGAATTGACTTAGAGATAGGCGGAAGAATAATACTATCATTCGTATTTCTTTACGACCTTGAATGTTGAGCTTTTGACCCCAAATTAAAAAGGGGTCTTCCTAAGGCCACAGGAATTCTCTTATGTTAAATTTCATTGAAAAGCTCAGGGGTTGTCGAGATATCGTGTGGAAACGAAAGCGTTACAGAAAGACGGATGGACGGACAGCTAGACGGACGGACGGACAGGTAGACCCAAATTTATATCCCCCACTTTTCAAGCGGGGGACAAAAAGTATCAAATCAGGTTCAAATGATTAGTTATCATACTTAAGATTTGTAGGAATATTGACGAAGCCATGCAGAATTTTTTTTCAAAGTGCGTTAATATGGTCCATATTAACGCACTTTGAAAAAAAATTTATTTTTTCAAAGTGCGTTAACCTGGTCCCAAAAATTAACGCACTTTGAAAAAATTTTTCAAAGTGCGTAATTTTTTCAAAGTGCGTTGCCACAAAGCTTCCACATGGCTAAGTTAGGAAAGTCATTTAAATATTGGAAACGGAAAATGTTAATTAATTAATTTAAATTAATTATTACACCAACAAAGTAAATACTTCTTAATATTATAATATCATACCTTCAGTTAAGAAGAAAACCAGTGTCAACAAAAGAAAAACCATAATTTCCATTGCTAGAAATTAAGTTCCTTTCTGAGATCACATAATTGTAACAAATGTGTTGTGTTTGGACCCAGTCGTAGAAAGATGTCACACATCAGCAAAGTGCACTATTGATTAAAATACGGATGTTAATATGGTACCCATTCAGCGTGAAATTACAATGGATTTGGAAAAGTTTCAAGTTTCCAGATAGGTAATAAAATCCATGAATTTTAAATGATGCCTGTATTATTTTCAAACATCGCAATGAATGTCTACGCCGAATCTTTCATGGCCCAAAAACAATTGGACGAATTCATAATTTAAACTTTACAACTACATGCAATACAAAAAATGATTTGTAAGGTATAGAGAAACTAAATATTGTTCTTTAGTTAAATTATAAAAATGCATTTTTCATGACTTCCAAGCTATTATTTTGATAAAGGGTAACTTCAATATGATGCAATGATGAGACTTGTAACAATATAAGGTGCTGTGTCCCACCTCAAATGTCTTCATCTCAAATTTGTGACATTCTGAAACAAACCAAACAAAAAAATATGATTCTGCTTTACGTCTTATCGTTATCAATTCATTTTGATTGAACTTGTTTCTATATTTTATCTTGCATCAATATACTAGTAATTATATGTAGCGGAATTTATTCAATTTGTTCTACATTTTGGCCTTCAATTTAACAGTTAGATATATCAATCAATGTTTTCATCAATTAACAATATTCATCTTCAATTCTACATTGATTCGATTTATCCCTTTGAACCCAAAGTATAGTTACATTGTACCAAAGAATCAGACACATTTGTTTCATATTTTGGATAAGACCAGAGGATAAGGCGTTATCGATAATGGTAATCTAACAACAAACCTCTGTAATAAACGTGATTACTTCAACTTTTCTTTCGCCAACTTCTTTTCCTTATTTAGCCTTATATTAACATCTGTCTGTTAAGTTTATATCTCAAATTGATTCGATACGCAAGAGCAAAATCTACATATAAACAATTTCTAAAACGAGGAAAGCTATTGACAAACAAGTTAATAAACAAGGATATCAACAGTCTTGTTTATTCTCATTTCGTAGGTCCTATGGTCGATACATTGATCTCGTCAGCAAATACAATCTACCATTGAAGTCAAATGTTGACTGACGTTTTTTTTTTTCATGCAAAGTTAGAAGCCATTGTAACGATTTTTTTTCAGTAAGAGATGAGATTTAAAGATGACATTTTAAGCACTTTCTTCCTGATATATATATATCTTTTTTTACTATAGCGCTTTTAAATTATTCAACTTTTTTTCAAATTTAAAGGTTTAAGAAGTTAAGTACCTGTGAATGGAAGTGGTCAAATATTTTTATTGTATGGCATCAATACACAAAAATTATTGTGCATGAGACAATTATTAGTAACTGTATTTGAAATGTCTTTTTATAAGTAAAAACAAATATGGACTTCGAGATTCAAGTGGTTTGATTTTATAATAAAAGGATTGCCTCAAACAGGCACAGTGATTCTAAATTTCCCTTGTGAAGTCAGTTTTATAAATTTTGTATAAACAGAACTTCTTCATCCGATACACTAAGGTAACATTTCATCATTATTCAAAAAACAAAAACAAACAATGGACATATAAGGCTTCAACTCTCCTGATATTTTGTACTTCTTTAATTGAATTTCTATAAGTATTAACCAAAATTGCACTGGCAAATTCAAAAGAACCAGCATGCATATGCAAAACAAGAGCAAACTGACAAACTCTTCAACAAAATCTATCTGTACTTTTGAATACTAACCACTCAAATATCTTCCATGCAAATGAAAACACCATCTAACAACTTACAAATATCTATTACTGTTAAATGTATTCTCTTTCATTTTGTAAATTTGAGATTTTTTCTTAGTAAAAGACTGCTAAATATTGATAAACCATAGTTTACTGCAATATTTGTACCATGCCTTTGAAACTGAGTGTTTGCACTCAATGATAGAGAAATATTACTGTAAATCACTATTTATTCGCGTTTAATAGTATCCCTTAAGATTATATAGAGCAATGACCACAATTCGTGAAAATTTTGTCTCACTAATAAAGAGTCAATGACTATCTCGCGAAAATAAGGTGTCGCGAAAATTAAGTGATGTACAGTACTACAAATTAAAAAAATTCTTTTCATGTGTAACTTTTAACAATATGGAGAAAGGACAAAATAGGAATATTCATTATAGTCTATAAGCATTCAAGGTCTTATACGTGTAAGACCCAACTTCTGAACCATGCTCTTTCTACTATTCTTTACAACACTCACCTATTAAAAAAAGCAACATTTTTATAATAAATTAAGTACACACAAGCATTAAAAAGCCCAACAACAAAGAATTTCAACCTACATATGCAAAAATGTCTTCACAAATCTTAGAATCAATTTTCACTCTGACATTTTTGTGAAAGAATAAATGTGACAATAAATCCTTGTGCATTTCAAAACAGCAAAATAAAGTGTAAAGTGTGAAGGCAGATTCAGTAAACTTTACCCATAAATAATCAAACATTAATTTTCATATTCAAACAAGTAAACTTTTAAATTTTGTTCATACAAGGAATTACTAGAAATACAAAGATAAAATTTATTAACTTGGCTTGAATGGCTCACCAATAATGCTGATATTCTATTTTAAAATGTGTTTTGCATGTAAATGGTACAATTATAAACAATAATGATCAAAACAAATTTTAACAAAACTTGAGATCCTGTCAATATTTCCTGTGACCTTGAACTTTTCTGCAACAATATTTGCGCAATATTTCAAAGTAACATGCTAAAACTAAAATTACATCCAGTTAATGCCATAGGACTATTTGACAGATGGTTATCACTGAGAATGCTACTTTCTTTCTCAAGTATAATGTTTTCCAAGTCTGAGATTAACAAAACTGACAGTTTTCAAAAATAAAAATCAGAAATATCTTTCACAATTCTATTAATGCATATATTGATTAATTATTTAAGGAATCACTGTCTAGTTAGTATAGTATGCCAGGGACATTAACAAAAGTGGGAAACATGGGATAATTTGCATAACGGGCGAAGCCCGTTATGCATAAATTATCCCATGTTTCCCACTATTGTTGATGTCCCTGGCATACTATACTAACTAGACAGTGATTCCTTATATTTCCATTTCCTTGTAAAATAAAATTGTAGATTTAGACTTTAAAAATGCAGACATATATTTAAATTACACGAGGATTCCCATCCCAATTTTAATACCGGTAGTCTTCGCCCACTGATGTCAAACACAACGGCAGCTGCACGAGATTTTCATGCATATTTGGCCTCCTTAGCATTAGACTCAGAGACAGATGAGCACGAGATTTGCATGCATTTTAGGCCTCCTTAGCTCCTGACCTATTGACCTGTTTAATTTACATTCCGGTAGAATTATCAAGAAATTAACTCCGCTAACTTTCAAAGAGTTATCACAGTGAGAAAAATTAGAAATGGAAATATTAACATTTAAATATAAGAATTAAAGTTTGCAACTGGTCATACAAGTAAATGCAGAACTATATATTCTTGGTTCAAAATACAATTAACAACATAATAAGTTTATACACGTAATTGTACATACTGGAATGTGCATTAAAAACAATGTATATAAAGCATATAAGTACTGAAAATAAATTTAAAATTGTATGTAGAAAGTCACAAAATAACCTCTGTTGTGAAAATCAACAAGTATATATTTTTTCTTTAAATATTACAACTGGTTGTCATTCAATCATCAATAATTATAGGACGGAAATATAAATGTAAAATTTGAAGAAAAAAAAAACACAAAGAAAACTATTAAAAAAAAATATAATCTATACATAAATAAGGTTGGAAGGAATGGATTTCAGTTAAATAAACAGTTGATATTAATTATGTACAGATGTAAATTAATTGGTTCTAGGAACCAAAAATATTTTTTTACCGCATAAAGAAAAGGATTTCAACAATTGGACACTTCACAAATAGATAAAGAAAGATGTAAATAACAGTCCTTCAAACAACATTCCCTAAATCTTGGCCAGAATTAATTTTTTGGGTAAATATTGAAATGTCCAGATGATGGCTTTAATAAACAACTCTTGGAGCTTCCTCTGTGAATATGGAATTAACATGCTGATGTTTTTTTAAATGCTTTTAAGTCCATCGAGGGCATACGACGACACAGACAAAATGAGGCATCAAGCATTGGCACCATAATACTGTTTATTATTAGAACATTAACCTCTCTCATCTCCATATTCTGCATGTGTTATCTTTACTTCCTACAAAAAAGCAAATAAGCTCAATAATTTATATTTTGCCATAAAAAGCATGTAAACTAGAACAAAAACAATTTTTAATATGGATCAGAGAAACAAAACACAATAACTGAAATTATATAAATGCCAAAAAATTTAATTCTAAATAATCAAAACATAACATACATGTACCAAAACTAATCCAACATAATTCTTCAAAACATATATAATTTATCATTATTTACTTCCCATCAGCTTTACATTAAAGGGATTAGAAACATTTTTGAAAATTAATATTATAAATAAATAGCAAAGTTGATAGTGTAACTGTATTTCTTTACCAGTAATGATGGTGTTTCCCTCGTAGTTAAATGCACAGCTGAAGATTTCGTCTGTGTGCCCCTCCAGGATCTGTTTACATCTCCCCGTTTCTGGGTCCCAGAGTCGTGCCGTCTTATCCGAACTGGCTGTCAACACTGAGGTTCCTTGGGGGTTAAATGTTATCTGTAAAAAGGAGAATATAATCAATCCAAATACCCAAATTTTGAATTGATTCTCTATATGCTTCTTTTTGCTGATACTTAGTTTAAAATAATTTACACTGCAAGAGGGAGATTGAAATACATTTCACCTGATTCCTAACACCAATAATTTCACTCTGAATAACACCATGGGACAAAACTTGCACTTCAAATTGAAGCATAAAATTATTTTCATATGTCGTAACAATTTCAAAAACTTCCACGTGCTCACCTTAGAGATTTCCCCTTCATGGCCCTCAAACTTTGAGATGAGATTGTGGGAGACAGCGTTGTAGCACCGGGCAGTCCCATCAGCTGATGCTGTCAGTAACATCTGACCCGTGTAGTCAAAGGCCACGTCTAACACCTCATCGTCATGACCTCTCAGGGTACCTATACATCGGCCTGTGTAGGAAGAAAGAATCAGGGATTTATAATTATTGTTATCCAATCTCTCTGTACTTCAACAGCTTGACGGTATCCCAATTGTAAATGCATAAAAACAATATAATCATAGTTCTTGATTACACACATAACCAAATGCAGTCCTTTAAATTCAATTTTTATCGGTTGAATATACAATCAAACTTCAAGTTATCTCAAACCTGATGGGACTGAGATAAAACTTCGAGATATCCGAGGATTCGAGATATCAAAGGTTAAATACTTAAAGAATATGTGGTTGGGACTTCCAAATCACGTCGACATATCCATGGTATTCGAGATATTGGAGTTCGAGATACCAAAGTTCAATTGTATATTTATTTTGAGATTGACCAACCTGAAGGTGGATCCCAGATTTTACAGGTTTTGTCCATGGAGCCTGTGGCAATAAGTGAGCAATCCCAGTTAAACTGTGCACTACTGATCTCCGCTTTGTGTCCTATTAGTGAATGTATCCTCCTACAAAAATAAAACTCGGTGATAATTCCAACCACTGTCTAGTGCAAGATTTTGTTTTTTTCTTGCATTTATTTGCAGACTTTTGAAGGATGCAGTTAGACTTTTGACCTCACTTACATACAAGAGGCCCAAGGGCCACAGCGCTCACCTGAGCACGTCGGCTAGGAAAAAGCACATATCAGATCAGAACTGAAAGTTTACTGAGGTGATGGTGGTGGTGGTGGGGGGGGGGGGCTTGAATTTTAACCCCCCACGGGTTCATGATTTGAACTAGAATCTACACTACCTTAGGTTGATTCCATATAAATATCACTAATCATGGCTTTGAAGTACTTGAAAAGAAGATTTTAAATATATTGGTTTCCTAATATATTCCTATGTAAAACTTGGGTCGGCCATTTTGGCCCCATCCTAGCCCCAGGAGTCATGATTGGAACAAACCTGAATCTTCACTACCTGAGGATAATTTCACATGAGTTTTATCTTTCCTGTCTTAATGGTTCTTGAGAAGAAGATTTTTAAAGATTTTTCCTATATCTTCCTATGTAAAACTTGGGTTGGCCATTTTGGCCCCGCCCTAGCCCCGGGGGTCATGATTTTAACAAATTTGAATCTACACTACCTCAGGATGATTCCACATGAGTTTCATCTTTCTTGGCCCAGTTGTTCTTGAAAAGAAGATTTTTTTAAAGATTTTTCCTATATATTCCTTTGTAAAACTTGGGTCGGCCATTTTGGCCCCACCCTTGCCCTGGGGGTCATGATTTGAACAAACTTGAATCTACACTACTTCAGGATGATTCCACATGATTTTCATTTTTCCTAGCCCAGTGGTTCTTGAGAAGAAGATTTTTAAAGATTTTTCCTATATATTCCTATGTAAAACTTGGGTCGGCCATTTTGGCCCCACCCTTGCCCCGGGGGTCATGATTTGAACAAACTTGAATCTACACTACCTCAGGATGATTCCACATGATTTTCATTTTTCCTAGCCCAGTGGTTCTTGAGAAGAAGATTTTTAAAGAATTTTCCTATATATTCCTATGTAAAACTTGGGTCGGCCATTTTGGCCCCACCCTTGCTCCGGGGGTTATGATTTGAACAAACTTGAATCTACACTACCTGAAGATGCTTCCACATGAGTTTCATTTTTCCTGGCCCAGCGGTTCTGGAGAAGAAGATTTTTTAAAAATGCCATTAATTTTTAACAAATTCATGATTATCTCCCCTTGGAAAAGGGCGTGGCCCTTCATTTGAACAAACTTTAATCCCCTTTACCCAAGGATACTTTGTGCCAAGTTTGGTTGAAATTGGCCCAGTGGTTCTTGAGAAGAAGATGAAAATGTGAAAAGTTTACGACGACGACGACAACAACAACGACAACAACGACAACAACGACGACGACGACAGACAACGGACAGATTGTGATCAGAAAAGCTCACTTGAGCCTTTGGCTCAGGTGAGCTAAAAATCAGATGACATATGCAGAACTTTGATTGGCATATATTAAGAGTGGAATTACATTATTTTCACTTACTAAAAACTGAAATCATGAACTATTTCTGTAAATTTTATATTATTAAGTCTATTACAATGTACTTACTTTCCTGAGTTGATGTCCCACACGGAAACTGTGTGATCAAAGGACCCCGTTATAAGCTGAGTACCAGTGGAGTTAAAAGAAAGGGAGATAATCTCAGCAGAATGACCCTGAAATTAAATGATATACCTCATGAAGAGTCTACTTCGACACTGTTTATGCATAGTTCTTGACAGTTTGTTTCATGGATTTTTCTGTTTTTCCAATTTTCTAGGTCATAAATTAATCAAAGCTGTATGATAGTCAGTTGTGGTCTCTCTATTTAGAAATCTGATGTGCTAGGTCTGTTGAGCAATTGAAAATCTGGTAAACATGTAATTGTGACACATTAATAGTACTTAATACAAAAACACATCTGTGAAATAAGCAAAAACTCAGACAGAAATAAGACAGATAATCTATTTCATGTTTGTGACAAATTCAGAATAACTCAACAGTGTCATACAATTTTACTGACCTGTGGCTAAAATTTTAAAATAAAATAGAGAATTAAATGTACCAAAATCAGAACTTAACATATCATCTATAATGCCCTTCATATATCAGGATGTAAATTTACAGAACACAACACTTACAGAAAGAGAGACGAGTTCCTGTCCCGTTTGGACGTCCCATAATTTGGCCGTGGTGTCCATACTTCCAGTGGCCACTACAGAACTCTGGGGGTTAAAACTCAGACACACCTACAAAGTTACAGTGGTGCTTAAATCACACAAGAGACATAACATAAATGACATACCGTAATTTTCGGATAACAGGTCGATGGGGTATATAGGTCGAATGGCTCATTTTTCAGCCTTAATTTTTGAAAAATCCTAAGATAGGACGAACTTACTATATAGGACGAGGCTTTATTTCCCTTTTCTAAAGATTCTTACGCAGATACAACGTATCAGAACAGGTAAACCTCTAAAATTACCGGGGCAATTCCGTGACATGAACGTATCAAGAAAACAAACAGGTATTTTAATGAGTACAGCATTTAAATAAAGTTTTTAAAAAAATGTAGTTAAAACTTATTTGATTTGTGTTATTACTTATTTTTCTCCAACTTGCCTGTTCAATGCCTCCGTAGTTTCATACTGTTGTTTAACCAGAGGCAAAAATAACACGTAAATACGTTTTTATTTTACAGCTATAATTCGGGAAATACCCGAGATCAAAGAATAATAATTCTGATTTCAGAACAACTTGGACACATTCTTAATATATTTTATTCAGACATTATTTACCGGTGGACGACAATTGCTTCGATGTCCGCCATTTTCATTTTTGTTCTTCAGGGATTTGCTAAAACCCGCAACGACCATTGAATGTATATATAAAGCAACGGTAAAGAATTGAAATAATATTACCACGCTGCAAGTTTAATTTATAAATTTAATTGAGAGTACCGGTACATTCACAATTTGACAGTCATTATGAATTTCATGGCTTTGTTTGTTCAATGATGTGTAACACTAATACCCTACAACGGCACGTGGATTTGCTAATCATGCCCTGCGGGTATTAAACCAAAACAGGTGTTGAAACCTTTGCGTGTACACACAGTGTAAATCCTTTTATCTGTCAGATAATTAAAATTCTTTAGAAGCCAATCTTTGTATAGCGGTAATGACTATCGGTTTATTTGGTAATTGACTGGCAACAATTTATTTCACTCATTTTACATTAAAATAAATATAAGACTGTCACAATAAAAAAAAATAATACTATTTCAATTTATCAATCTACTAATAAATGGTAAAACACTACACTTCTGATCTTGAAAAAATTTCCGTATTTTAAATTTTGATACGGTTGCGGTTTTACTTTTAGTAAACGGTAGCGACTTCCTAACTTCACAAGATGGCTACCGCATGATGGCAATGGATAACACGTTGATGAATTATTTACTTGATGAAGCACAGTTTTTTCCTTTGTCATCAACGGATATTTAATGGAATTTATTTTGTAAGAAAGCTATAGAATAAATATTTTATTGTTTACCTAGGTATTAATTTTTCTGCGTAAAATAATGAAAAAAGTTATGAAAGTGGCACAGATTTGCTTTGAAATTTAGGTAAATTTTATTGATTTTTGGGCATTTTTCGTAAACTTTGGCCTTAGAAAGGTCGAATTCGTATATTGGGCGACCCCAGCGGTTCTGAGAAAAAAAGTATCGACCTATTACCCGAAAATTACGGTAATATAAGGACATAACAATTCAAATATATCAGGTTATCATAAGGTGTAATCTATAATGATCAGTTATCTAAAGAATTCACCTTAAATATTTAATCTGTCTTCTGAAGCTTTGAATATGTTGTAAAGAAAGGCCTTTTAACTGACAATTTTTATAATTACATGTATTTGGAAATTTTCTTGATCAGATTTACTTACAATTTCTGCTGAATGCCCTCTAAATGTGTGATAACATTTCCCCGTTTCTGAACTCCACAGTTTACAAGTTTTGTCAAAGGAACCTGTGGCTATCTTGTCTCTAAAATAATATATATATATTAATACAATTACTTTCAATATACTTTAGGACTAACACTTAATAAAACGACAGAAAAAAAAAAAGAAGAAAGAAAACATTAAGCACTCCCATCAACTCAAGACTAAGTGAAAATTTTCATTTATTGTTTTGATACTTTCTACTTTTGAAATTTCAATTTCTCTTCTTCATTCATGGTGGGGGGGGGCTTGAATTTTAACCCCCTAGGGGATTATGATTTGAACGAACTAGAATCTACATTACCTGAGGATGATTCCATATAAATATTACTAATCATGGCTTTGAAGTACCTGAAAAGAAGATTTTAAAAGGTTTCCCTATATACTTTGGTCGGCCATTTTGGCCCCACCCTACCCCAGGGGTCATGACTTGAACAAACTTGAATCTACACTACCTGAGGATAATTTCACATGAGTTTCATCTCTCCTGTCTCAATGGTTCTTGAGAAGAAGATTTTTAAAGATTTTTCAAATATATTCTTATGCAAAACTTTGATCGGCCATTTCGGCCCCACCCTACCCCCGGGGGTCATGATTTGAACAAACTTGAATCTACACTACATGAGGATGATTCCACCTGAGTTTAATCTTTCCTGGCCCAGTGGTTCTTGAGAAGAAGATTTTTAAAGATTTTTCCTATATATTTCTATGTAAAACTTTGATCAGTCATTTTGGCCCCACCCTACCCCAGGGGGTCATGATTTGAAAAACTTGAATATACACTACCTGAAGATGATTCCACATGAGTTTCAATTTTCCTGGCCCAGTGGTTCTTGAGAAGAAGATTTTTAAAGTTTTTTTCTATATACTCCTATGTAAAACTTTGATCGGCCATTTTGGCCCCACCCTACCCCCGGGGGTCATGATTTGAACAAACTTAAATCTATACTACCTGAGGATGAATCCACATGAGTTTCATCTTTCCTGGCCCAGTGGTTCTTGAGAAGAAGATTTTTAAAGATTTTTACTATATATTCCTATGTAAAACTTTGATTGGCCATTTTGGCCCCATCCTACCCCCGAGGGTCATGATTTGAACAAATTTGAATCTATACTACCTGAGGATGATTCCACATGGGTTTCATCTTTCCTGGCCCAGTGGTTCTTGAGAAGAAGATTTTTAAAGTTTTTTTCTATATACTCCTATGTAAAACTTTGATCGGCCATTTTGGCCCCACCCTACCCCCGGGGGTCATGATTTGAACAAACTTAAATCTATACTACCTGAGGATGAATCCACATGAGTTTCATCTTTCCTGGCAGTGGTTCTTGAGAAGAAGATTTTTAAAGATTTTTACTATATATTCCTATGTAAAACTTTGATCGGCCATTTTGGCCCCACCTTAGCCCCAGGGGTCATGATTTGAACAAACTTGAATCTACACTACATACCTGAGGATGATTCTGCATGGGTTTCATCTTTCCTGGCCCAGTGGTTCTTGAGAAGAAGATTTTTAAAGATTTTTTCTATATACTCCTATGTAAAACTTTGATCGGCCATTTTGGCCCCACCCTACCCCCGGGGGTCATGATTTGAACAAACTTAAATCTATACTACCTGAGGATGAATCCACATGAGTTTCATCTTTCCTGGCCCAGTGGTTCTTGAGAAGAAGATTTTTAAAGATTTTTACTATATATTCCTATGTAAAACTTTGATTGGCCATTTTGGCCCCATCCTACCCCCGAGGGTCATGATTTGAACAAATTTGAATCTATACTACCTGAGGATGATTCCACATGGGTTTCATCTTTCCTGGCCCAGTGGTTCTTGAGAAGAAGATTTTTAAAAAACGCCATTAATTTTTCTCTAATTCATAATTATCTCCCCTTGGAAAAGGACATGGCCCTTCATTTGAACAAACTTGAATCCCCTTTACCCAAGGATACTTTGTAGCAAGTTTGGTTGAAATTGGCCCAGTACTTCTTGAGAAGAAGATGAAAATGTGAAAAGTTTACAACGACAACAACTACTATGATGACGACAACAACAACGACGACAGACAATGGACAAATTTTGATCAGAAAAGCTCATTTGAGCCTTCGGCTCAGGGAGCTAAAAACAAAGTGGCTGGGTTGTCCTCTTACCCATAGGGGTTGTTGAATGCGATAGCATACACTACATTACGGTGTCCCTCCAGGGTATGTAACTCCTCCCCTGAAGCTGTGTCCCACACCTTACATGTCCTGTCATAACTCCCCGTGATAAAACTGAAAGAGAGGGGTTACACAGGAATATTATTCAATAAATCTCACTTCAAAAATTAGTCTTTGTTGAAAACAATTAATACAGTGAAAATCTGTCTAACCTGACCTACTTTGGGAGATCATACATCTTTACTGAAAATTTTACTTGCTATTTTAAAAAAAAACTTCATAAAACTTTTTTTTAAAAAATTGTTGTCATTAAGGAAATAAATGTGTTATATGACATTTTTCTTACCTGGACCCTGATTTGTTAAATGCAACATTGGTAAGTGGTAAGATATGGGCTCTAAGCACCTACAAAATAGAATTAAATATTTAATTTATTAATCATAAAATATAATATAAATGAATACTTTGCAATCATTTGTATTGGGAGTTCAATGTCTGTTAAAAATTAAAATTTTATTGGTTTGAACTCTGATGGCATGTAATTTATTTTTTGTATAACTTCCTCAAACTCACTGAACCAATGCATTAACAAAGAAATCATTTATGTGGGTCAATATTTGTTTGAAGTGATGAACCATGGAATCTGTGAACATTACCTCCCCCCCCCACCAACAATGATGATTTCAGCACCCTAGTTCAATCTGATATATTTTATGTAATTGCTAAGACATTACTCTGTATATGAACTTAAAATTCACCTTGAATAAGTAAAAGTGATGATCATCCTTTTGGGCAAGTTTTTCTTGTAATCCTGTAATATTAAAAAAAATTCAATATATAACAATGTCCCTGGATTAAAAGTACACTGCAATAACATTACAGATTACTGTCAAATAAAAACTATACATACTTTGTACCAGTTTTCTAACTTGTTCTGTTTTAGTTGCTGTAATTAATGGCTCCTTCCTGGCTATTTCATCAACCACAGCATCAACATCAGTTCTGTAAAATACACCAATTACAGTTCAATACATCAACATCAGTATACAGTTGTCAGGGTCTGACAAATCCCATTGCCCGACACCCGGGGCTAGTGAATTTTAGAGGCGGGCAAGTGAATTTTTAATAGGCACTTGCCCGTGGGCAAGTGACTTTTAAAAAAAAATCAATCAATAAATCAATTTTTAAAAATGTCATACATGTAGTTTTCTACGAAATTAAAATTATTTTGTTGTAAGAGTCATCTTCCTTTGTTTGTCACACTTCGTATGCGAACTAGTTTAATTGTGTCATCATTATGCAATTCATTACAAGTTTTACCGAAAGGTTTAAGTAATGTACTTAATTAATTGAAAGTGACAAATTGGCATTGGAGAAATGGAGAAAGTTTTGACAGTTATGATCGCGGCAGAAAACGATCCAAAGCCGATGATAAGTACATTGTCCATAACAATGTTAGTGAAAATCTCAGTACAAAAACGTCTAACATACCAGGTATGAGAAAAGAAAAGAAAAACAAATGTCCGAAACTATTATTTTAAACAAATAGCAGATATCATGACTATAGCTGAAATATGATAGCAATTTTACATCTCTATATAAGTAGAAAATTCTCGAACGGGACGTAAAACATCATACAATCAATCAACAGATTGTATGGTACATAGTACTTAAAGGCAGTGGTTTTAAATGTCACCACTATTCAAAACAACAATCCTAGGCTGCAAAATTTTTCGATTTAGAGACAAATTAATTCATTATGATGAATATAAAGTGCTGGTGGAGCAAGTAAAAACTGAAGTGGGACAAGTGAAATTTGACCATACACTTGCCCCTGGGCAAGTGCTTGAAAAATCTATTTTTCAGCCCCTGGTTGTTGACTTGGGTTGAGGGAAACAGTTGTTCTGTTAGACCAGAGTGCAAGCTGTGCCCAAGGCCATAGGCAACAGCTTGCACTCCGGTCCAACAGGGTGGACTGTTTTCCGAGACTCCTGTCAACAACTGTTTTGTTACATTCCTTTGCCGAATGATAAGATAATAAGATACTTCAGTTTAGTGCCATCGGGCAACAGTCTTTTCTAACAGTCTATTTTAACAATTCCTGGACCAACACTCGTGGAAAACAATCGAACTGTTGGACTTTTTAAAGCAAGAAATTATATAGGGACTGTTTAGTTGGGGTTTAACAATTATGACTGTTACAATGTGTTGTGTGAAATCAAATTACGATTAACTCACTCTACTTTCAGGTCCAGCAAGTCAATTGATTTGGTTTTTAAGTTTCCTCCCTGTTCATACTCCAATATGATCCCTGAAATAAAATAAATCATAATTCACATATGATGAAGGACTACAAAAAAGTTATAAGGTTTATACTTTTAATTTGGATACTGTTTTCATTATTCCGTGGCATTTTAATAACATTTTAAACATTGAATCCATAGCATATTTGAATTCCTGCAGAACTTTTTAGTAAAATTTTTTTTCTTCAAATTTATATGTCAATCAAATTACTTGGATGTTCTGAAAAATACATCCAGTGTTTGACTTTGTAACTTCTTAGGTTAAATTTCGAGAAAATTCTATAATTTGAAACTTTACAAGCTAAAAACTGTTATAATTTATGTAATCTTTAGATGCTTAGCCTGAATGTAAATGTTCAGTGAAATTAACATGAAAATCAATGGAAGAATGTCAGGAATTAATTTAATTGGAACTGCGCTGATTTTCGATGAACGGGTGAATTTATGTTATTGCAGCTGAAAGTATTAAATCTACAGACAGTCTAGAAAAATCTCATTATGAAAAAATATATATTCGGCCTAATGAATTTTGAAAAGAAACATAAAAAGTATACTGATGCAGTTCACAAGGTTCTCCTGTAGTTTGTGTCCATGAGTCAAAACAACAGAAAATATCTTTTTAAAACCCTTTAAATATGCAGCAGGAATTTATTAAAGCTAAAAACAACATAGTATGTCAAAACAACTGAAAGGACACCAATAAATGTTCGGGCATGTGCTTTTCAGCCATGATGATTCATCTTGGCGTTCATCGCGACCGAACTCGAAACTGTTTTCTGTCGCAAATACCTTGAAAATTGAATTATAAATGCCTCATTTTGGAAATTTTTTGAAATATATTTCAGTTCTTTAGAATTGTATGCTTACCAGGAGGATAGTATCGTAGAAGAAATCGCTTTAACTTCATGTTCAAGTGCTTGGTTTCTAATTGCTAAAAATACCTAATTTTGATGCATGTTGGGATACGTACGAAATCAAAGGGAAAGTACTCTTCCAAGAAATTGGAGACACGGTTGTACGAGGAATCATTCGTTTTATCTCATTCAAATAAATGATACTGAATTAAAGGGAGAAAGAGAATAATTGAAAATAAATAAATTTATTTATAAATGAATTAGTTTTTAATAAGGTTTTTAGAAGTAATGTATGATTTAGTATTTAGCTAATATATACTAGAAACTAAAATATATCATAAGGTACCGTGGCATAGTTTTGGTGGTGTCACATATTGTTATTTTATTTTTATTTAAACCGTTTACTGTCAATGTAAATTAAAAACGCTCACAGTATATTAAATGCATTTATTTCTTTGATTAGTTTCTATGAATGATATTTCATAACAAGATTTAAATGAATAAAATAAATAAAATATTAGAATTGAAATACAACTCACTATAGTTGCCTGGGTTCGTTTTACAGCTAAAAGTGCATGGATAAAACAAGTGTTTTATTATTACGAATTTAAATAATGTTTGTAGGCGAAAACATAAAAAAATTCACGGAAGACCGATCCCCTCCCCCTCCGCTTAATTTTTTTTTTAATAAACCGCATCCAAAAGAATTTTGATTTCGCGGACTTTCTGCATTGAAAGTTATCTGTCGATCCTTAGACACAGAATGAATTAAAAAGTACAGTACTGTGTATTGGTACAGATTTCTCAATAGTTAATTGGGCAAAAATAAATTCATGAGACATTTTATGTATACGAATTGAAGACTTGATAGTGATGTTACTATCATGCAATGCTATGCACCAACTAATGCACCATCGTCGGAAACCCAAGGGTGATCTCGTCTTTACTTATGAAGAGTTCCGACGATGCTAATGCACCAGAGGAGCAGGAAAAGGAAGAATTTTATTCTGCACTACAGTCATTGATAGACCGTGCATCTCGCAGAGATATAAAACTTGTGATGGGAGATTTGAGTACGAAGGTGGAAGATGACAAAACGAACAAAGAACATGTGATGGGAAAGTTTGGCATCGGAAACTTGAATACATAAAATGGAGAACTTTTTACACTTTCATAGATCTAGTTATATAGGAGGTATCTTTTTTCCACACAGGGAGACACACAAGACAATCTGGATTTTCCTGGATGGAAAGACAGAAAATCAAATAGATCATATATGCGTTAGTGACGAAGTATGCTAGATGTCAGGACAAGACAAGGAGCAGATGCAGCCTCAAATCATTTAAAACTTGTTACAGCTACACTGAGGATGAAACGAAGAGCACCAATCACACCACACTACAAGTTCAACACCCCGTTTATTGAAAATAAAAAAAGAGGGAAGTTCAACAATGATTGCATGCAATATATAACAAATTTGAGGCATTATAGTGTCTGGCAGAGGCAATCATAGAAGATCATCGGGATAAGCTTCACGACACTTGGAAAAGTGCAAGCAGCTGTGAAGTCCTAGGGAAAAAAGAGAGAACAGAAAAAGTGGATGACAGCAAATTCACGGGAAAAAGTTAAAGAAAGGAAAGATTTGAAGCAAAAAGTCAGCCAGTGTCTGACAGAAAACTAGTACTTACTTAACAAATGAAGAAACTGAGAACAGAATATAGGGTAGCCTTCAAAGAAGTCAAAAAGAGGGATAGGAAGTACTGAAGAGGCAGAGAGAGAATCCTGACAGAACAACATGAAAAATCTATATGAAATAACCAGAATGCTGTCGTGAAGAAATGTGAACACTAACATCCAGTGAAAGACAAATAAGGCAAAATTACCAGGTATCACTAGCGATGTAGGACAAAGAGCTAGATGGGTAGCGCACTTTAAAGAAGTTCTAAATCAACAATTACCCGCTAGTCTTGCAAGTATACCACCAATGAAAGAAGAACTTCACATCAATGCAGGACCACCATCTATAATAGCAAGTCAGCAGAGATGTTAAAACCACTTTTGCAAAAGATATTGGAAAGAGAAATTTTTTTTTGAGAATTCTCAAAGTTTTATGACGGCGGAGCCAGATGTCTGGAAATCAGGATAAATTACCCAAGAAGGGAACCCGTCGCAATGTGGAAGTTGGCGAGGCATCATGCTTTTATGACGTTGTATCCATTGTCAGTGAAATATTCTAACAAAAGTTATCTTGGAAAGAATGACAGGAGCACAGGGCAAGAAACTAAGAGCAGAAAAAGCAGGGTACCACCAGGACAGATCATTCACAGATTACATTGCAACACTTCGTATTATCAGTCCATTGAATAACAATTACTGAGTATTGTCCATAAACAGTCTATTGAATAACAGTTTGTCTCCTCTCTATTCAATCTTCGTGGAGTTTGGACATTCGATAATGTGGATAGGTCAACCATCTGGACATTAATGGGGCATGGAATTCCACCAAAGTTCGTAAGTGTCATCAGGAATCTGTATGATGATGCCACATCATTCACGATGGGAAGCTCACAGATCCTTTTAATGTGGTAAGAGTAGTAAGGCAGGGTTGCATCCTCTCACCAACCATATTGCTGATAGTCATTGACTGGAACATGCAGGAAATAACAATGGCGGAATCCAGGGGCTTGAGGACCTGGATTTGCAGATGACATTGACCTGCTCTCGCACAAACAACAACATGCTCAGGAGAAATTATCACGATTGGCATAAGAAGCTCAAAAGACTGGCCTTTAAATAATTACATGTACCAAGAAGACAGGGATGATTAGAATCAACAAGAACGATGTCAGAAGCCAAACTAATAAGACAAGACATGCTTTCAATACCCCCAGACAAATCTGGAATTCTTATATGGTTCTGAGACCCGGATGGCAAATACATAAAGACTATAAAAACAACAAACTACAGTTTTTCAACAAAACAATGTCACCGCCACATCCTTAACATCGGAGGGCCTGACACCCTACCAAACAACAGCCTGCGGGAGAGAACAAACCAAAACCCCATCTACGTGTACATATATTGACATAAGAACGAGGAAATGGGGATGGATGGGCCACACTTTTCGCAAATCCTCAAACGCCATCGCAAAACAGGCTGTGGGTTGGAATCCATTCGGAGAGAGGAGGGTTTGGAGACCCATGAAAACCTGAAGATCCGTGGAAACGGGGGAAAAAGAGGCAGATTTGACCTGGACCCAATCAAAAGAAGCATAGCCCAAAGCAGAGTCCACTGGCGCGGTGTGGTTGCTGCCATATCTAGTAGCGAACATGCATAAGGCAAGTAAGTCAGTTCTTTATCAATAGTAGTGAGAAGAGCATGGAAACAAACCTCTTAAACTGTAGCAGAGCCGCAGTCAAAAGGAACACCTTGGCTGTCCGTGGAAGGCTTCGCTCTGTGGAAGGTTTCGCTCTGAAGAAGTCGCCCGCGTGGCGCAGTGGTTAGAGCGTCTGCTCTAGAGTCGCGAAGGAAGGAGTCGATCCTTACGTCGCAGGCGCGGATCCAGAATTTTTTTCCAGGGGGGGTCCACCCCAGTCAAAAAAAAATCCAATCCCAGAAATTTCTTGACAAGCAAAAAAAGGCCCAAACATGAAAAACCTATTTCATGGGGGGGGGGGGGGGGGGGGTTGTAGTGGTGACTTCTATTGCCATTTCACTCATATTCGCGTTTACCGGGGGGGGGGGGGGGGGGGGTGGGTCCATGGTAACTTTTTCTTGGTTTAGTATATATATTTTTTAAACTGGTAAATTCCAGGGGGGGTCCCCGACCCCCCCTCTAGATCCGCGCATGCGTCGCGAGTTCGAATCCCACTGTGGGACGTAGAGACTGGTCCCTAGAATGAGACCGTATAAACCGATGTCCCTTCTCTCAGTAGTTGCTGGCACGAAAACAATCCCCCACCGCTCAATGACACTGAGTGCCGAGTATAGGACAACATTTGTAGCTCTTCACCAGCAAGCGGTGGCGTCTCCATATGAGTGAAAAAATCTCGAGAGGGACGCTAAACAACATACAATTAATCAATCAATCAATCAATCGCTCTGATATGTAATCCCCGCACCCTTGACCAAAGTGATATTCTGATTAATTTAACCAAGTGATCATGTTCCTTGGCCAAAACCAAGTCAAACACGCTACCGATTCAATCTACCCAGTATACCAATGACAACAATATCACTATACAAAACTGGTGGAGAATCGAGTGTTTCCCACGTAAAACAACAAGTTTGCATCAATAAAAAATGCCTTAGGCATAATATTGCAGCTCAATTTAAAGACTTCATCAATATTATTTTCTTCACCATATTGCATGTTTTTTTAATATTATATTGCTTATCTTTATTACATTTAATACAGTATCAAAAGTTTCTTCCAGCTCCACACATGTATTTTTCGCTTCACATCAATTTTCTGTGACACTAAATTCTTTATTTTAGTCTTAAAGGATCTACCTCGTTCTTTTTCGTTGAGTTAAACTCAGTGTGTACATGTACAATTTTGTTTATAACGCCCTTTTGCGATTTTGCAAGATTTTTAGAGACTCTTAATGAAAATGGCATTCTTCATATAAAAAGTTTTATTTAAATGATTCGATAATACAGGTGATGTTTTGAGTAAATCTTGAATTTAACAAAAATTTTGTTGATTATCGATGTTCCAGTTCAGTCTTTGGATGTTTTTATCTTTCAATAGTTATTGAAACTAGTAGCCACGCTCCACACCCAGATGTACAGTCCTATGATGATGGAAATCAACACGGTTCCCAATACTATGGAGGTAATGGTTAGACCTCGAGCCCAGGCATTGCTGGCTCTCCCTCCCTCGTGGTCACCAGCTTGAAACAGGCTTCTGGCCTGTTGAGTAAAAATATAATTTAAGAAACATTGACTCTTCAGTTTTTCTTCTTAGTGGTTTGATTGTTTACTTTACATGTAGTTATTCAATAGCAAGCCTCAAAATGATACTGATCGAAAATGATAACCACATGATCATCTCTGGTCTTTATTAAAATATATTGAGCATTGGATTAAATATTGATCAGCAAGGCTTTTTTCACATTGTCAAAATGCATTACCTAGTTTCATAGAAAATAAATGCATGTAAAATTCAAACTTACATTGACGGCAGCGATGATGGCACAGATCCCGGTAGGGAGGAAGCAGAAGAGTGTAGCAAGTATGGCGGGAACTGTCCAGTCCCTTTCCGTGATATTAACAGGAACGACAACTGTTGGTTGTAGTCCGGCCGTCTGTATTATTATGAGAATCCTACTATGATTTAACAGTCAGACCGGACCTTAGTAAACAAATTATTTCTTTTTACGTAAAAGGAAGGGTATGTTTTGAGAAAACAATCTGTTAAAAACAACACTTCATCAAATTTTTCAGAATTTTTTCTGTATTTCAACTAGGAAAATATATTAATTTTTGGATCCATCCATGATTTTTTCATTCTTTTCAATTATAAGAACTTTACTCTAAATACAAAATTCACATATTGAGAATGACTTTTATGCATTTAAATCTATAGGCAGTTTGTATGCCTTGTTCGTCCATCTTCTTTAATTTTAGTTTTCAACAGGCGGTATTTCAAGATAGATTGTGTTTGTCTCATCCATGGATTTGGGTTGTGGGGTTGAATCTTTCATAGGCGGTGGAACGGGGGGGGGGGGCTTAGCCCCCCCCCCCTCCGCTTTTTTTGCAAAAATAGACATTATATAGGCATTGAAAATTAGAAATTACCTTTTTTGTTGGTTTAGCCCCCCACTTTCGATTATCGATTAACCCACCCCCCTCCCCACTTTCAATTTGCTTCCGACGCCCATGTCTTTTATTTATGCATGAGGATGAAACAGCAAAGAAAAAGTATCATTACTTTGTAGAAAAGAGAAATATATTTTGTGCCACAGAAGATCCCGTGTATAATGTGTTACATTAATGTTCATCGATATTCTGATAAGAGAGATAACTCTTGATAACACATGCTTATTTTTCTTTTATGAAATTATGTTCATTGTTGATAAAACTTTACAAATACCTACCTCATGCAACCTGTCGTTTTTTCGATAGTAAAGGATAAGCAACTTTATATATTAAATATGAAAAAACATATATATTTTTTAGGGATGTCAAATCGGTCAATTTTCAATACTCGGTTACTAGGACGTTTTTCCGATCGAGTACCCGGGTACTCGGTAAAAGTGTAAATAAATATGAACAAGTAAATTGAAGACTGTAAAACATTGTAAACTCTTGTAGAAATAAAACCAGATGCACTGATGGAGGCTTATCCGTAAATGTATTTCTGTTGTAATAATAATGATGAGTACTTCGTGCCCGACGAAATTTAACATACCGGTACCAATTTTTAAATTCAATTCATTTATCAGATAAACACAAGAAATAAAATCATAAGTTGTTCACATTGTTTTTCTTTAAAAAAAAATAATTTGCTCCGTAATTGTAAAAGAGTCGCGTTTGACGACCAGGTACCAGTCGTCAGAGCTACGTACAGTATCAACTTGAACTTGATCAAGTTCTCACAACAGTGCAGATACACGATTTTAGTTCACTTGTTCGATCCGAGATTTATATAGTATTACGGGACGGTATTTTGTACATGTAGTTTGATGCAACGATGGACAGCAGTTTTTTTAAAGCCTTCGCCTTCAACCAGTTGTATTGGCATGTAATCAAACACAAACATATCAACTATCGCACGTGTAATCAGAGACATATAAAACCATATATATGTCTCTGGTGTAATATCATCCGCTCGTCTCCCGAGAATTTACGGCTTCTCGGAGAATTGACAAAATTAGTTAATTTATCTAAACATAATGGATCTTAAACGATGTTCAGTGAAAACAAATAATTAAAGCCAAACAAAAAATAAGGAAGAAGGCAGCCGAAGGTGAGAAAAGCCAGGTACCCCAGGTGCTTGGTCACGATAATTACTGTAACGTATAAACACTGCCACAGGCGATAACGGTCATTTAGAGTCGTAGTAAACCCTAATTACTGTATGTACAAGTGCAATGAGCATTTTACGTTTTTAAACAGATTGTTTAATGCATTAATAAATAAGATTAGAAATATTCCAAAATATACATCCGAGTAACCGAGTACCGATTTTAGTATTCGATACTCGGACGTTCGATCGAGTACCCGGTTAACCGGGTACTCGTTGACATCCCTAATATTTTTACAGATTCACTTTATGGAAGTAAATATATTGTGTATCTCGTAATTTATTAAGGAAAAGAACATTCTGATTTAAATCTTTTTAATGTTTAGAAGAACTTTAATGCTGAATAACTTCTCCCACCTCAATTCCCATACATTGTATACCAACACTTTTAAAAACTTATATGTATAGAGCAGCCCGGTCCCGGGCTGCAATAAGTGGATCGGGCTTTAAAATTCCTTTGAGATACCCAAAATATTCGATATATCAATGTTCAGGATACAAAAGTTTGACTGTATATTAAGAATATTGATATAGTATTCTTCCATTTCTGTAAGATTTTATAACGTACCACTACTGTTACGTTTGATGTACTGTGATGCATTGGTTGGGCATACTGCGGTGCGTACTGCTGGCCATACTGAGGTGGGGGACCCTGGCCGTAGGATTGGGGGTGGGGGTGGGGCTGGTTATACTGCTGCTGTTTAACTGAAAAGAAGAAGATCTGTTCTACTAGTACTTTTTATAGATGAATGTTATAAGGAATATGGCATATTGCACCATATATACTAGAAATTGAATTATTATACATGTAAATAAAATGTGCTATATTGTGTAAAAATATGGAATTGTTGACACTGTTATTTGAGTGTATATTTGTGGGTTTGAAATTGTAGCATAACAAATGTGCAATTAGGTGAATGAATGATCCGCGAAGGTATGGAAACCCTGGGGGAGCTTTACCCCACCCCCATTTCTTTGCAATGATAGACAAAAGAAAGGCATTGAACATTGAGGTGTAGGTTTAGCCCCCCCCCTCCCCCCACTTTCAACAGACACGTTGCAGTGTATAGTAAAAGAAGGGTAAGTGGTAGTGGTTGAAATAATTGTACTGAAAGAAGTTCGGTTCTCCCCCCCCCCCTTTCACGAAATTGGATTTTTTGTATTTTGATTTTTGATTATGAAAAAAATACTTTTTTCTTGTAAAGTTTTCTTTGGTTGGATTTTTTTTCTCATTCAACCGCCCATCCACTTTCAGTTTGCTTCCAACGATCCGTAATTTACATTCAATAAATCTTAATGACTTCCCATTTCATTTATTATATACAAACACAAGGGAAGGAAATCAGAAAACACAAGTTTCATCCAATCTTAATAAAATAGAATTTACAAACAATAAAATCAATTTACATAGCAAGGACAAGTATAATAAGGAAGGACAAGGAAATCATACATACAAGCTTGGTTGTCCATCTCGTGTTTACTATAATTTGAGATAACATATGTGCGTCACATGAGGACTTTGATATGAAAATATTTGTGTTGGCTAAGGTTTTATCTTTTCAAACTATTTTATCAATGTGCCATTTTGGGGGGAAAAAATCATAATATAATGTTGCACAATACTAGTACCTCTATACTAGTATTCTATTCAGTTCACACGCAGGTTTACGATAAGCTGATGAATATCGAGTTACCAAAATGATCCATATACTCTTGAAATTCTTTTCAGAAGTCTTTTCAGTACTTTGATTTTTTTTTATTTCAACATAAAAGTAGCTAATTTCGGTTTAAAAAATTAAAACAAACAAAAACGTGTAATCTGATTTCGAACAAACGATATATTTGACTGGGCATTAACCTCTATGAACAATAAAAAAAAAATTTTTAAGATGTAGGCCTAAAGCCTAAAATTAGTGTCGAGTAAAAGTTCACTTTTTAACTTTAAAGTAGTTTTTTTCCAATTTAATCTGAGCTTTTCAAACTTAAAGAGACACCATGACGCACAAAGGGGAAAACTGACAAATGTAGAAGTTTTGCAAGGCCAGTGTTAATTTTGTTAAATTCCTAAAAGTATCAGGTTTCAGAAAATTCAAGGTTTCAGAATCTAAAAATTCTATTTTTATGTAGAAAAATAGAAGTAAAAGTAATTTCAGTAAAGAACACTTATCGATAATCTCATTTGTCTGCAAGTCTGTCACAAAGTCTTTTACTTTAACCTGTCATAACTTTTAAATGAGAATAGATCGAGCTTTCATATTTCACATGTACATTATCTGTTCAAGACCTTCAGGGGCGTAGCCAGGCCACTTTTGATGTGGACGCCAGAGTAGGCAGGGGTTTGGGGGCCTTAATGACCCCTATGGGTCCGTGGTGAAGCCCTGGTGAGGATCCATGGGGCGATGCCCACGGCAACTATTGAATTTTGATGAGCATATTCGACCTTCCTGGCCGCTTTTTTCTTACACTTTTAAGTTTGTTATGCAGCCATGTACATTGTATATATATTCGAGGTCTGTTTTGTTTTTGTACAAATTACGGACAAACACTCAAAAATGAGATAGGATATGCCCAATACATTGTATCGTTGTACATGTAATATGAAGAGCCCACTTAAATTTTATTTTAGACTTTTGAAGAGAAAAAATACTTATGATAAAATCGGTTGGTGTGGTCGAATGCAATGCAGTTAGAAAAAAAATCAGCAATACGTAAACCAGATTTTTGAGAATCTAATGATTTCAGAAATAGGTGTAGAAATACTATCATATTTTCCCCTAAAATCGATTCTGTTAAGTTTCAGTTATTATTTAGCGTTATTAAATTGTTTCTAATCATTTCTTTTATTTTTAAAATTATTTATTTATTGCAAAATGATATGTTGCTTTAAAAGCATGCAAAAATTTCGCCTGTCTCTCCCTCTCTCCTCCCCCCCTCCCCCAAAATGACATGGACGTTTTTGAGTACAATCGTACGCCTGGCTACGTCCCTGACCTTTATAAATATACAATGATTTTTGACTTTGTGTCCTTGAAGCTTGACTTGATATACAATGATTTTTGGCTTTGTGTCCTTGAAGTTTGACTTACTTTAAATTAATTGGTCATAACTTTTAAAACAGTTCAAAAGAGAGAAAATATAGGGCTTTCATATTACACGTTTGTTGCCCGTGATAAGGCCTTTCTAAACATACAACGTACTATGATTTTTTTTACCCTGTGACCTTGACCTTAAAGTTTGACCACCTACTTTTCAAAAACGTTATCTTGCATTTCAGTTTTGATCGAGAAGAGATTAGGGCTTTCATATAATTTGACATGTGCAATACCTGTAACACGATGTTTCTTACCGTGCTATGATTTTACATGTGTATGACCCCTTGACCTTCAAGTTTGATCTAGTTTTTAAAAAATTTAACTTTGGTAATAACTTTGAAATGACATAAGATAAGGCGTTCATAGTTGACATAATATGCAATAAAATGTTGATTCCTCTCCTTAAAATATCCTATTAATGGCACCCATCCACTTAGACACCGAAACCATATAAAGGGGGGGATTTTTTTATATGGAAATTCACACTGTTGATTTTTTAAAAATCTACACCCCATTATTTGAGAAACATTAATAGTCCGTACTTCATTCACAGAATACTAAAGCCTTGAACCTAAATGTGTAAGGACCGTAACTGAACCAAGGTCATTTGACCAAGTTCAAGGTCCTTTATGGAAAAAATGTTGATTCCTCTCCTTAAAATATCCTATTATTAGGAACATTGAATTTTTATACTTTTATATAAACATTTTTATTTAAAAAAAAGAAAGAAAGAAAGCGCCCGGATCGAAAGATCCATTTGAAGCGAGGGACATATATTGTTTTTGTCCTGTCTGTATATATTCTGTTTATCTGTTTGTCTGCAAACTTTAACCTTCGCTAATAGATGTAATAACTTTTGAACCTTTTTATGAATGGTTGAGACTAATACTATATTTAGCATGCATACCACTATTTAAGCTCTTTCAAATAACACCAAGATCAATGACCTTGTGACCTTGACTGTGACCTATATGCTAAAAATAGTGTTTTTTTCTGCAAACTTTAACCTTCACCATATCTTTGAACCATAAAAAATAGAGACTTCGTATTTGGTATGCATACACCACTGATTAAGCTCTTTTAAATGACACCGAACTTGTGCCTTGAATGTGACCTATACACTAAATTTAGCTTTAATGTCGGCAAACTTTAACCTTGGCCATAACTTTTGAAGGAAGAAAGACTTGATAATTGGCATGTATACTCCACTAATTAAGCCATTTCACATGACAGACAGAAAGACGGACGGACGGACAAACCCAAATTAATATCCCCCACTTTTCAAGCGGGGGACAATGACGTTGTGACCTTGACTGTGTCCTATATGCTAAAAATAGCTTTTTTGAACCTTTACCATAACTTTTGAACCATGAGAGATAGAGACTTCATATTTGGTATGCATACTTCACTAACCAAATTCTTTCAAATGACATGGAGATCATTGTTCTTGTGACCTTGACTGTGACCTATATGCTAAAAATATGTTTTTTAACTTTGTTGCCGCCAGGCGCATAGTGTTTCAAAAACACATCTGTTTATAAGTGGAGCTAACTCTATTAATGGGCTTCAACAAATGGGGAACCACCATAAAGATTTTTAGATCACCTGAGCTGAAAGCTCAAGTGAGCCTTTCTGATAACCCATGGTCAGTCGCTGTCTGAAACTCCGTCTGTAAAATTTTCACATTTTCCATTTCTTCTCAAGAACCACGGGGCCAATTTTAACCAAAATTGGTACAAAGCATCCTTGGGTAAAGAGGAGTTTAAATCATTGAAATAAAGGACCAAGTCCCTTTACAAAGGGAGATACAAAAATCTCAAGAACCACTTGGCCAGAAAAACTTACTTATATGGAAGCACCGTTGCTGCATGATTTTGATAAATAATGAAAGTCTTAATTAAAATAATTATTTTATTGGCAAAGTTAAAGCACTGAAATTAATCATTACTTTACACAGTGTACAGTGTAGTTTAAACCTCTATTTGTACAAGAAAATACAACTTCAATAATATTAAACAGTAAATAAGTTTATTATAAAGCATTGAAATGAATAATTATTCAAAAACAGTGTAGTTGAATTCTCTCTGTGTATAAGAAAATACTATGTAGACCAATGTTAAAATCATTTATTGCACTAATAATCGTAGAAATGAATGCCATGCACCGGTATTTAAAATATAACCTCTGCTTGTTTTAAAAAATCAAAACTTCAAGACAAATAAACACAGAATTAAATGTGTTATAAATAATTAATACATGTAAACTTTTGTAGATCAATGTCGTAATAAATTTTGATAAATTGTACTGATGCTCATTCCAGCTTCATTTCTGATCATAGTGTTACTTTGTAATTTTCTCCCTGAACCACTAAATACATTACTACTTTTCTAATATTTAAACATGTCCCTGCGTAGTCCTTGCCCCACATTTACACAAAGATGTTCAACATGTATAAAAACACTCTTCAAAAAATATTCCCAGTATGACTGTAATGAACAATCAAATCCATATTACTGAAAAAAACCCATATTACCATTATCTATAATCTATAAGCTAAGGGAATACTACAGAGAATTAAGTGATTCATAAATTGAAGATTCTAAAAAAAAAAAATGAAAGAAAAGAAAAGGAAAAAGGTAACAAAAGACAAGAGGTCATGCCATTGGATATGTTAGATTTTCTAACTAAGGAATGACTAAGGGTAAAAATCATATATAAATAATAACAATAAAGCAAGAAATCATTTTACTGAGATGCTATTTAGAGCACTTGAATATAAAACTCTTAAAAAATCTTTTCAAAAAATATGTATGCAAGCAAGAGTATTATGATATTTCTTTCAACAGTTCAATTACCTGGGTAAATATATTACATTAGTAAATATATACCAATCACACAGCATATACTCCTAGATCTAGATACAGGATTTTTAACATACTTAATTTTGTTTGGTTTTCAAAAGTATATCTGTCCATATACTGCACAAGTAGTTAATAGATACATACAAACATAAAACTGCCCACAAGTACATTATACATGTATCCCGATTGCTTCCCAATTCTTTGCTCTCTTGTTTGAAAACAAAATTCCATCAATCATTGTACATGCTAAATATATTATAGGCTTATTGAACTTATATTTATATAATAGTGTTGCATTATGCATGTACTATGCCTAAATAGTAGGCAGGGTTTCACACATGGTGCACGAGCCGGAGGCGAGTGCACTATGTGTCAAACCCTGCCTACTATTTAGGCATAGTACATGCATAATGCAACACTATTGTTATTATTATGCTGACTGTTGTAATTATTTATGCGGCAATCTGTTTGACTTTTTCCTGAAAATATCGGTGCTTACACATGCAGCGCACTTGCAAGAACTCATTCAAAATCTTCATGCTAAAATTGTTTGCATGCTTATTTATTTTGGTTACTAGTATTTTCTCTAAATAAGTCGGGATTTTCTGTCCCAAAGCAACTCATCTTTATTTTCTGTTTTGTTAGTACATGTAAGCCTTATTTGTTTGCAGACGTCGATTCTCATTGATAATTTTCTTTTACATCCTTCAATCAAGCGTCATATAAAAAAGCGTTTTAAATAAATAATTTAACGATTGTATGCAATTAGTTTGAAAGTTTGTTGTACACATTAATCTAAAGTTCCTTAGAATAATATAACTGTTTTCAAATAATATTTGTCTATTTTCTCCTTCTTGTGTCAATTGTTTAAATTAAGTTTATATATTTAATAAAATTCTACCAATCAGTGATCGTCTCTGTGGCGTAATCGATAAGGCATCGAACTGACAATCTCATGGTCGTCAGTTCGATCCCCGGCGTGTGCATGGAAGAATTTTATTCAGTAAATAAAGCTGTGCACTATTTCGGCATAGTATGCTTACGCTATATAAATCCTTAGACCACTATGCGAGAATAGTAGGGTATGGGTTATATAGAGACAAACTGACAGGAAGCATAATAATAGTGAATATTAATTGGCACAAGTTCTGCAAATGCACATTTTGCGAGTGCATTTGAATGCAGTTCTTTATATAATATAAGTTCAATAACTCCTTTTTATTATACTTTCATGTTAAATACTACAACTGATTGATTTAGACGCAGTTAACAATTTTTTACCCTGAGCCTTAGCAACACACGTGACAACGGGTAACACAACGGTAATGCCACATGCGTGGAAATTATGCGCGTACGGTTCACCGTAGCATTTTATGCATATACTTTCGCGTTTGAAAGAGGCCAGGTAAAATTGACGTCAATAAAAGCTTGCGTCCGATATAGCTTACTTGAAAACAACAAACGACAGACGAAACATGCTTTCGAGTGTAGGAAACATGCTTGCGAGCCAGAAGTAACGAAACTTTATATGATAAATGACTCTAATTCGAGTATGAAACAAACAATAAGGAGATTAGTGAACCGGTGAGTGTGAAAGCTATCTATACATGAACGTAAAGACGATCGACGGTTTTTTTTTCGCTGACGTCCTTAATCAATAAGACATTCAGTATAATAAAATAAATTCTTTTGGAGGGTAACTTTTAAATACTCGGAAAACCAGAAAATTTTTGCTTTAATCGGTTGAAATATTTATTGTTAATTAACAAATGTTATCAAGTACATTTATATAATGATACAGTTAAAACATTTCCACATAATTTATAATAATTATTCCAACTAAAAAACTCAAATTAATGATTTTATGGTATCGGTATTCAAATTAAATGTATAAAAATGTTCTAATAATTATTCCGATGAAAACCCTACCAAGCGATATAATTTGCTTGTTTAGGTTTTAATGGGTCTAAATTTTTAATAAATAATTTCATTTTGAATGAAAAATAAACACACAGCTAGATGCCACTTCCTTACATATTTAACTTGACTTTGACCAGACGACTTTTTTTTTTACAACTTAGTTGCCTCTACATACTTCGGGCTCCTGCCAGTGATGGTATCAGCATTATAAAATGTGTTTGAATGCTAAAATTCTTTAGATTTTTGGTAGTATTTTATTAGAGACTATTTGTTAGCTATATAATAAAATACATTTACAGTATGTCTGTTCTTTGTCCCTGAGCTACAGTTCTGCAGCTACATTTTGCGAACATTGTCATATGTAATGCAGTTCTTTATATAGATAGTCTATGGAAGATAAGCTCATTCTATCACTTCTCAAAACATATTATGCAACACATATTTGGCAGGAAACAATTTTTTTTCTGTAAGTTAGGTTGAAATCAAAGTTAACAATGTACAGTTTTGCATCCAGTGTATAGTGCATTTTATGCATATACTTTCCATTGTACTAATACAAAATATATTTTTTTTTATGTAAATATTTGGAAAAAATAGATTATAAGGAAAATTTATGTTTTTTATAGTATGCCAACTTCCACATAACATACATTGAGTATGCAGGTCATAAGAAGCTGTTATCTAATCCACATGCAATAGATTTTACTGTAGATTCCTTATTTTTCGCGAGTACTTTTTATCGCGAACTGTGTCTTTCACCTCAAATCGCGAGATTTATAATTCGCTAATGAAAGGGTGATCAAAAGAATTTACATAGACTACAGCACCATAAAAATAAAAGCAAGTAATATTTTTTCGCGACTGACGCTTTCCGCGAAATTACGCGGAAATCAATTCTTCGCGTATAATTAGGAATCTACAGTATATAGTCAAATGCAGGAGCATATTTTGGACAAATATGTCAGATCTTCTTGCTTATATTGAACATTATCACAGTTATTCATCAACAAATAACAAACAGGTCCATTGGCAAACAAAGCTTAAAGCAGCAGATATAAGCTATTAACAGGGTTTATACAAGTAATTTATACAAAACAAAACAAAAATCACAGGCTCAACAAGGTGTACTATTATGGTAACTTTTATCACTCTCTTTTTGGTAAGTTTAGAGGAGCTGATCTTTTGCTTTATATGCAACTGAGGTAGATATTAATTTGTTCATATTTAAATGTACATGTACCGGTAGTTGACTTCCACTGTTTAAACAATGATAACCCTGTGAATAAATTTAATTTACGTACTCAACAGACACATTCCTATGGATTTACAATGAGCAAGCATAAAATCATAAAAAAAAAGAATGCCTTTTAAAAAACGAAATGCTGCAAAAAATAAAAATTCATGCTTAAAAAAGGGGTTCAAAATACTATAGGCAATGTCATGTGTCATGACCCTTGACCTTTGCCTTCTACTTCGCACTAGACAATTCAGTCTCTGTATTTTCAGGGCTATCGTCCTCTGTTAACTGCGTGAACTGATGCGGCGTCGGGGCAAACAGATTGGGGACGATGCTGTGGGTGCGCTCCAGGCGCTTCCTGCGTTCCTCCTGAGAATTCTCTCGGTCTCGGGTCCGGAGGGCCAGACCGTTGTTCTCCATCTGTAATATGTCTTCATGGTCCACTGTCGACTCATGGGCCATCTTAAAAAAGGGTTCAGTAGGATTTAGACAAGTTCAATAAGATTCAACAATTTATAGCTAAGAACATTTTAAACTTAATAAGAATGAAAGAAAGTATAAGGTATATCTAACCCTCTAATCACTAGTATTTAGTCCACTCTGTTCTTCATTTATACTTTATTGGGGCAGAGCAGTTAAATTGTTCTTTCCTACATGTAGCACAGATATATAAAAAGACCCCAAATACATTTTGGAGGTTGAAAAACACTAAGGAAATTATGAAACTGACTGCACATAAAAAAGTATTTTAAAAATAAAATCATTTTCTGTCTTATTTTATTGCAATGTAAAAATTTCATACCAACATATTTGGAGCTCTGAAGACATAACAGAAAGGATAATGGAGGAGATTGTCAACAGAGGCCGCATACAGGTCAGCAAACCTCATCAACTGACTGGCAAAGAAGGTGTGGCGAGAGCCTATCAACAAAAGACAGAGCAAATAAAGAAATCATCCAAATGTAGTGGTTAAAAATATTTCAAATTCCCTTGAAATTCTCTAGATGCAATCAATATTTTGCAACAATATGAATTAATGGACTTTTTATTCACAAGCAAAAGATTCTTGGAAGAAATGAACTACCGGTACAGTGTACCTCCATTCATGATTTTTTTTTCCTTCAAAATTTTGACAAAACAATTTTTCTCCTGACTCTCTCCAAAAAGGTACTCACCACTTCTGAAGACACTTCCCAGAATTCCATATGCCATGTCCATTTGGTGTGTAGTATCCTGTAAGGAATGAATAAAATGGAAACCCATTAATGGAAAAAAAATATTAGGACCATAGGGTTTGTAATATTTAGAGATGGCAACTTAAATATACAGAGAAATAAATCGAGAAGTAACATCCCCTTTGTGCTCAATTAATACACTTTTTTTTTAGTTGATGCCACTGTTGCTCCGGTCATCCATTCTTCTTTTCTTAGACCAGTGAGCTACAGATCAGCAGCTAGTAATAGCTTTATTCATAGATTTACTTTAATCTATGGATTAGTTAAAGAACTTTATTCAGTAATAACCAATATTTGCCCCCCAAATCAAACTTTGATGGAGATATATTTGATTTAACTCTTAAACAGGGGAGTATATGCTGACTTCAAAGCACTGAATATTTTCATAAGTAATGACGCCATATATACGTAATGACGTCACAAACATGACGTAAATTTCAGTTTTTTATGAATTTTACAGAAAAATGTACATATTTCGTCGATATAGAAAGTCACCGAGCGCATGTGTGTTCAGGATCAACCCTTATTTCGATATAACGTGTAGAATGATAATATCAATGAAATATGTCAATATTGTTCCTGAACAAACTTGAATGCGCTCTATAAATTTTAAAGCTAAAATTGTTGAAATTTTGTCCATTTTGTTTGAAAAAGGATATTCTAGTTTGTGACGTCATAAAAACAAAAATTGTGAATACACTGCTTTGACACTATAATATTTTCTGTTAATTTATATTTCTCATACAATTTATTGAATTCAGCACATTTCAGGAAGTTTTCCTTTTTTGGGGGCAAATAATCAATATACCGCATATAGTTCTTTATGTTTTAAAGTTATACAATGTATATAGAAATTTCTAAAGCTGTCAACCAACCCTTATTAATCTGTTGATGTTGCTAATGTCTGGTTTGGTTTCACTCTCACTGTCAAGATATCTGAAAGAAAAAAAATCTCTCCTTAAAATCATTCCACCCTTCATCACACATTCTTTCTATGGTACAAAATATTTTGAACATTTTTTTTAAATACATGTAACTATAGTTATTTATCTTCAAATCACATCTCAAAATTTAGGAAATTTCTTATTGACCTCATATTTAACTTTGTGCCAAAAGTGTAGAGATAAACAAAATACAATATATATACTGACACTTTCCTCTACCACTTCGTGTGAAGGTATTATTAATATCTATTAATACTAACTGTATATTCATTCTGGGAAGGGATATTCACAAAATACTCCCTTACCTGTACATTTCACCCCATCTGCCTTACCTGTACGTTTCACCAATCTGCCTTACCTGTACATTTCACCAATCTGCCTTATCTGTACATTTCACCAATCTGCCTTATCTGTACATTTCACCAATCTGCCTTACCTGTACGTTTCACCAATCTGCCTTATCTGTACATTTCACCAATCTGCCTTACCTGTACATTTCACCAATCTGTCTTACCTGTACATTTCACCTATCTGTCTTACCTGTACATTTCACCTATCTGTCTTACCTGTACATTTCACCAATCTGCCTTACCTGTACATTTCACCAATCTGCCTTACCTGTACATTTCACCAACTTATCTGTACTTTTCACCAATTTCACCAATCTGCCTTATCTGTACATTTCACCAATCTGCCTTATCTGTACATTTCACCAATCTGCCTTATCTGTACATTTCACCAATCTGCCTTACCTGTACATTTCACCAATCTGCCTTATCTGTACATTTCACCAATCTGCCTTATCTGTACGTTTCACCAATCTGCCTTATCTGTACGTTTCACCAATCTGCCTTATCTGTACATTTCACCAATCTGCCTTATCTGTACATTTCACCAATCTGCCTTACCTGTACATTTCACCTATCTGTCTTACCTGTACATTTCACCTATCTGTCTTACCTGTACATTTCACCAATCTGTCTTACCTGTACATTTCACCAATCTGTCTTACCTGTACATTTCACCAATCTGTCTTACCTGTACATTTCACCTATCTGTCTTACCTGTACATCTCACCTATCTGTCTTACCTGTACATCTCACCTATCTGTCTTACCTGTACGTTTCACCAATCTGCCTTACCTGTACGTTTCACCAATCTGCCTTATCTGTACATTTCACCAATCTGCCTTACCTGTACGTTTCACCAATCTGCCTTATCTGTACGTTTCACCAATCTGCCTTATCTGTACGTTTCACCAATCTGCCTTACCTGTACATTTCACCAATCTGCCTTATCTGTACATTTCACCAATCTGCCTTACCTGTACGTTTATCTGCCTTACCTGTACATTTCACCAATCTGCCTTACCTGTACATTTCACCTATCTGTTTTACCTGTACATTTCACCTATCTGTTTTACCTGTACATTTCACCTCTCTGTTTTACCTGTACATTTCACCCATCTGCCTTACCTGTACATTTCACCCATCTGCCTTACCTGTACATTTCATCTGTCTGTCTCACCTGTACATTTCATCAATCTGTTCTTACCTGTACATTTCACCAACCTGCCTTACCTGTACATTTCACCCATCTGCCTTACCTGTACATTTCACCAATCTGCCTTACCTGTACATTTCACCAATCTGTCTTACCTGTACATTTCACCAATCTGTCTTACCTGTACATTTCACCTATCTGTTTTACCTGTACATTTCACCCATCTGCCTTACCTGTACATTTCATCTGTCTGTCTTACCTGTACATTTCATCTGTCTGTCTTACCTGTACATTTCATCTGTCTGTCTTACCTGTACATTTCACCAATCTGCCTTACCTGTACATTTCAACAATCTGTCTTACCTGTACATTTCACCAATCTGCATGTCCAAGTCCTCTAGCTGTTCAAACAGGGCCTTTTTCTTGGTCCACACCAGCAGTTCCTGAGCCAGCTCGGGGACGACAAGGAACGTCCTCCAACCTCGGACTTTTTTGGTCTTCAAAATGTCGCCAAAAATGTGGTCACCAACATATAAAACTTCCTGGTCATATATCTTCATCAGCTCATGGAAGACGCTAATGGAACCTAAAATAACATTTCTCTTTAAAATATTTTTTTGGAATAATGGGTAATTTTGCACATTTCATTTTATGAACTAAAACTATTTGCGCAGGGCATAAATGCTAGAATAAATAAAACTTCTGGCTGTTCCCATTACCTCCCGAGTAAACCTGTCCTGACTTTATGGGTCCTGTGTGAGCTCCTAGCTTTAAGGCACCAGTCTCCTATAACAAAGGCCCGTAATTCATAAATATGTAACAGACAGGTGTTCAGAAAATTAAAGACATCCTTTCTTTTTCTCACTCTCTCTCTCTCAAAAAAAATCATAAATCAACAAACCTTATCAACTTGACGTAGAATTGTTCCCTCTTCGAAAAATAAAGGTTTTTTGGCATCCACAACAATGTAGTCAAAATAGCTGGTCCAGTCTCGCTGGAAAATGGGTTAACTTTCAATATATGATTTTCATACATTTTTTCACTCTCATTTACAATTGCAAACTCTATAAACAAATTCAAATATTAACAATAATTTTAAATACCTTATCATCATTCAACATGTATGACATCACTTTCTACAAGAAAAAATGTGAAAATTAATAAAAACAAAATAAAACATTTGAAAAACAATTAGCCATAAGTACAGATTTAAAAACTAGATATATGTCCATAAAACATCTTGAATAGTGATGCAGCTGAAACTTGTTTGGAAAAAAAAAGCCATAGTGTATCCAGATTTAAAAAAAATTCTCAATAAAATATAAAGGCGTTTTGATGTTTAAATGAAAATGTAGGTCAGATCCAGCATCCGAAGCAAGTCTGGTAGTATCCATCCCTAGATGCATCAGCCATGCAAGTTTTGTTCATTAGGGAATGATTTTCCTAGATGCATCATCCATCACTGTCATTTACAATTTAAGTTACATGGAATATATAAGCATCCCTCATACATGTTACTAGGGAATGAAAATGATGACAAAGTCCTTAGATGCATTACATTGGTATACCTGCTCCAAAATAACCATCTGGAAAACTATCCTCAGCAAGTTGTTGTTCATCCCTAGATGCATCACAAGTTTGGTTTTAGGGCTTATAGTTCCTTGGAAATGGTGCTCTCATTCTGGAAAAACAAATCATTGTCATCAAATTAGAGGTCTAGTTTAACATAGAAACATCTTGGGTAAGAAAATGTTTAAAAATTAATTTTTATTTGCCTCTTTTGAGCTCCAAAAAACCTGGTCACTCATTGGAAAATGTTGTTACATCCGAAGCAATCTGGTAGTGTTCTATTATCCGTGCAAGTTTGTATCAACATGTGAAGTTTTAACACCATCTTGAATGGTATGTTTAAAATCTAAACACTGAGGTCAAGGTCAAGAGAGATGTTGATGCAGTTGCATCTCATCAATATCTATCAGCATATGAAGTTTGATGAAAAAATGTTTCTTTGAAACTTAGCTTTGAACAGAGCTAAACGCAAAGTGTGACAGAAGGAGTTGAAGTGACTTTTTTGGACATGACAAACACTATATGCCCCGGCCACATTCATGGCGGGGCATAAGAAATTCTCAATAAAATATAAAGGCGTTTTGATGTTTAAATATTTTGTGAATTCATTTGATTTTCCTCACTGTCATTTACAATTTAAGTTACATGGTTATAAGCCTCTACATGTTAGTAGATGACAAGTTGCTTACATTGGTATACTGATAACCACTATTTGTTGCTAAGAAGACTTTAGATCCATGTGCTCTCATTCTGGAAAAACAAATCATTGTCATCAAATTAGAGGTCTAGTTTAACATAGAAACATCTTGGGTAAGAAAATGTTTGAAAATTAATTCTTATTTGCCTCTTTTGAGAAACTGTTAATTGTTACATATCTATTACTTAAGGTTCATCGAATCTCTGATAAGAGAGATAACTCTTAATAACATAAATGTCTACTATTCCATTACAGATTGAAGTTGAAGTGTCTTTTTTGTCCAATTTTGCCCCACAAGCTATGCTATAATTGTTTGTATTTTACTTATAAAATATATTTCTTTTGGAAAATCATTAAGGTTCAAGCAACATTTTATGAGTGAGCAGAGGGTTTATGAACCTTAAAGTAATACCTAGTATTTAAAGTTTTCAGATTAGCTAATAATCAGTTTACCTGTCCAAAAGCACCGGAAGCCTTTCATCCTTTATAACATACTTCTCCAAATTCTTCATAGTCTCACCTTTTAATGGCCCCTTTAAAAAAAATTAATATCGTTAAAATAAACCAACACAAAATATATTGTTATAATTTAATTTCAAGCTCTTTTATTGTATCAAGTTGCAAGTATGGTCAGTACAATTTCAATTAATTCTATTACAGAGTGAGTTATCTTTCTTTTCCTGTACTTACATTTTTATCGTGAACTATGCCGACAGCGGTCATGACATCCTGGTAAATAGAGTGCCAGGTCATAGTTATATCCCCTGTTCTGACTCCATTGTCCATACTACAGAAAAAATAAAGTCAAATGACAATCGCTCAAATTTCTTTTTTATTTTTCTTTACAAACTATAACTTTAACAGAAGTTACGATTTTTTGGTAAAAATTCAAGAAGCTATTGATTTCAAATCTTTTAATTATATATTTTATGTTAAATATTTTATAACTTTAGCATTACATTGAAGTTTCTGCATTGTTTTTAATGGATGGCAAATAAAGTCACAGCAAACAAATCATTAGCATTCATAGCTCTCAAAAATTTTATTACCGGGTATGTTTTTTATTACTGCATTTTTCACTTCACACATATTGCAGGAAGAAATTTAAATCACGATGATTTTGTCCTTCAAAGTTAAATAACAAACAGGCATTTTTTCAAATTCAAATTTCAAATTTAATGCACTTAAAATAATCATGAACTCAAGTTCTTGATAACATTCTCATCTGCATGCAACTGTTCATAAGACTCTTCAAAATTTCAAATTATTTGGATTTAACTTCATTTTTGACATTTAAATCCTCTAAGCATGGCTGTTTATGTAAACCATGAACAATTAATCAAACTGGTTATATCACCAAAGAAAGGTACATCTTTTAAGCAAATGCCTGCACACACTTAATCTCTAGGGTCACAAAATAAAGCATGAGGAATTTTTGTATACAATTTATTCAAAGAAAGCATTAGGGGTTTACTAATTACCCTGAAAATTCAAACACCTGCACTCAAGCTGTTACATAAACAAATTAATTTCACATTTTCTTTTTTTTTTTTTTTTGGTTTTAATTTTCCACTGACCTTGAATTCTCATTAAAAACTCTGAAAATCAAGAACTTTTGATAAATTGCACATTAAATTGATGCAGTTTTTTTTTCTCAGCATCTCCAAAAGAGTATTTTACATACAGTGTACATATGAGCATTATTAAGATAATTTTAATGGCAGATGGATGATTTTCAAAGATTTTCTGTAGACAAGAAGATTTTAACTGCCAGGTGCAGTGTCCAGATTTTTTTTCCACATGAAACTTTAAAAACTTTGTTTTCTGGAAGGACATGCAATAGAAATGTTATAGCCCTGCATGCATTTATAAAAACAATTAAAAGACGCTAGTCCCTTTCATTTTATTTTAGATCTAAAGTGAATACACTGCATATCAGTGCACTGTAATCAACTTCTCTAAAATATAGTTTCTGACTATTTTCAATTTCTGTGTAAACACAAGTATAAAACTCTTCTGTCTGCAGCCCCCTCTTGCCTTGTTATTTTAACTCATGTTCACATGCCCTCATGGTCATTTTGCGTTGTGTTGTTAATAAGGTCACTAGATTTAAAAAAGTTATTTAAGCATTGAATACATATTTTTGGATGTCTTCGGTCCTATAACACACCTGGCCGTGCCGACAAATTGAATACCGCGCGTTAGCGCGGTATGATAATTTGTCGGCACGGCCAGGTGTGTTATAGGACCGAAGACATCCAAAAATATGTATTCAATGCTTATATTTACATTCTCTAATTTTCCTTTTTCATAATTGCTTATTTCGTTAATCTTAAATATGAATTTAGCGCCCTTCAAAACTGCCGTGATTAATAGATGTAAGAGCCGTTTGTGACGTCAAATGACGTTAAATGACGTTGCAAAGTTAAATAACGCAAATAAACATTGCGAGGAAAAAAATGACAAATTAATTCTTAATGCACATTACGTTAATTTTTCAGGATTATAATTTTTCAATAAATTGAAATAAAACATTTTACATTTTGGTGTTCCCAGATTATAAAAAAATGCATATAGTTCCTAGTGTGTATTCTAACGCGCGGTGACTAGGTTTCGCGTGTGTTATAGAAATTTGAACGTCGTGGATTTCTAATGGATTTCATAAGGAAAATTACACTGAATGTAAATATAATATAATCATTCAAAGCATTGTCATATGGCATCAAAACTCCTCCTGAATCTAAAGGTCAAAGGTCAGAGGTCCCTCAAGGTCAGATTGTTATCCAATAATCCTACAGGTCCATCCCTAGGCAGCTATAATAATCTGATTCTGTCATAGGTCAAAGGTCAGAGGTCCCTCAAGGTCAGACTGTTATCCAATAATCCTACAGGTTCATCCCCAGCAGCTATAATAATCTGAATCTGTCATGACTTATAAGTTTTGTGTATCTAGTCTTTCAAAGAAACCAAAGGCAATCAACCTTAAAAAACACCAGATTTTTATGGAAACTGACAATTATTATGCAGAGATCCAAAAACATAAAAACTCAGAAAATGTGACAAATTCCTGGCATTTACACTATCAATGGAGCATAAAAATCAACCATAACATCTCTGCCCCTTCTTAACATAAAACTTCCCCAATCAATCCATCAACCTGACTTCTAAGGTGTGATCCCCCAAACTAGCATCATCAATGATAGCCCTTTTATCAGCAATAAGTAGCACTATCATTGCTGTATCTCGAGACAGTGCTATCATATCTCGAGACAGTGCTATCATAAAAGGTGCTGCTCTACAGGTTATAATGAATGCCAAGTTTCTATGTTTCTATCAATCATTACCAACAAGGCTATCTTCGTTTATTGTGAACCCTACAGGAGTTATCTTATTGAAAGCTTAGATATGTCATCTGAGTTAAGCATCATGTACAGAAAGAATTCTTCAGAGACCTGCAGGAGCAGATTCTTTAAAACTGACAAAATTCTGGGTGGTTTGGAAAAAAACTGCACATGGTGGTTTTCTAATGTAATTTGCTAAGTGAGATTGTTATTTCAAATCAAGCCTTATTTTTGGAAAGCATTTAAAACTTTTAATTTGTTTCATTATCATTCCATATGATTTTTTACAAACGAGCCGATGGAACATTTATTACTTCATTACATAACATAATGCATAACTGTGGGAATGATATAAACTGAAACCTGATTAATTAATGTGTAAATTAAGCTAAATGCTTTCTTGAGAGACAAGAATTTGCCAATTTCTGTTTTTCTGATGTATTTAATCATTGTCAGCAACAGATTCAAGCTAATCTGTTGAGAAAAGGGAATTTCTGTCAATTTAATTAGCCAAGGACCATAAAACTTCTGAATTCAAAGTTAAACAATTTTAATTAAAATTTCCAAATCCAATATAAGCTTACAAACAAATCTCTTCAACTTAATTTAAGTTAATCTTATTCACAGACCCAAACAAACCCGTGAATCTAGAATTTCAATCTCATCAGTGTTTTTTTTATCTTGCTATTTTGGCAAAATAAACACCAAAAACATAAACCCAAATCCAATTACCAACTAGGAATAAATAAGTGACTTAGAAAGGCTAGAAAAGCAACAATCAAAGACAAACTGTGCCTGATCTGTTTTAATCAGTTCTGCTCGACTGCTTCACGAGACACAGGGTTATGATTTTTTAATCATAAAGCCACCTCTAAAAATCCGAACATGATCCCCTCTACATAAGACACAGATTGCAGGAAAAGGCTTAAGAACCCAATATAAAACTCATCATTTGATGGGCAAACAAAATCCTTGCTGCTGTCAAGTCAAAGAGGGCAATGACTCCCATGAGCTCCATGTACCAAAAAATAAATTGCTAAATTGACCACAGTCTTCCATGGTTCTATCCCTCTCTCTTGCACACATTATAAATTTATAATCGCTGGATTCTACATCATTGGAATGGAGGCAGCGGGTCTGAAACTGAGCTTCCAGCAAATGTGTTTTGGAGAAGACCCGTAATAATTGCCATGTAGTCTTGAGTGGAAAGCAGACACCCCTTCTAATCAAACAATAGACCCCCTTAAAAAAGATTTAATGAAATTTTGATATTTTTGAACCTGATCAACTCCAATGAGCTGTAATGTATGTTAGAGACTGCATTCAAATGTTGACCAAAAAATGTGGTTGTTAAAGTATTTAGACCTTGTTGAGTTTCTGTTTCCTGTCATTATGAATGAAAAAAAAAAGTTCAATGTGAAGTCTTTGGGTGCATGAACATGTATAAGAAATTGTTGTGCAATTGCAGTCTTTAAAAGTGTCTTTAGCAAAGTGTCGAGTCTTCACAATATTGTTTGATTATATGAATAGCAAAACATGACTGAGCAAAGAAATTGAGTCTTGCTCAACATACTGGAAACAAATTAGATTTTGTTTGAGTAATTTTTTCAATCTTCTTTTCTTTAATAAATGTAACTGTTTCTTTACACTTTCTGTCTCAAGAAATGCTCTTTCTTTCTGACTCATATGGTTTCTAGAACAGTAAAAGCTGAGTATCTATCAATGGCATGCAGGAAGCCTGAACTTTTTAAAAAGAGGCCTATTCATTGTATATGAAGAAATGTGATTTTGTTTTTTTATTAGTAATTGTACTCCATATTTCCTATATTTTCATAACTTATGGGACTTCATGTTCCTTTAATTTTTTCAACATCTTCGGTGTGTAAAAAAAATTATAAGGGACTCTTTTAAGAAGTTATATCCTCCCACATCACGGTCACAATTTATTAGGAAATGCAGCAAAGTGCCTCCACCTTCTCATTTTACCCTTGCCCCAAACACTGCAGGCTCAAACCATTAGCCGTGCTTTAATAACACCAAAGGAATTAAATGATAAACATCTGATTTAAGTTTATAGCCTTAAAAATTGAATTGAGTCAATCAAGAGGATTTGTAACTGGTGGGTTTGGGGTCACAACTGTGTTAGACATGCTGTTCTCCATGCAATTAACCTGCCGTGTTCCTCATCCACGCTATTAAAGACAATTTTTCTTACCATGAATGATAAAAAATATGTATCTACAGATTTCATTAAAGTTCATTAAAACCACTCAAACAAAACATCTTTTTCTTTTACTGTTTCAAAGAAAATGCTAAAGTGCCTTAACAACTAATTGATAATTGGAATGAATTGTAATAAAATATCAAAAGCCTTTGTTTTCATTTTTCTGAGAATGTTTTTTTCTGTGTTAGTTTTTGTTACAAGTGCTTAAATTGTGAAAGAGTTTTACATGAATATGTAATCAGAAAACATTTCTTTAAATTTTAACAAGATTTTTTTCGACACGTTGACCCTTCGTAGATACAATGTACCATACATCACTTGCCAAGAGTATTTTGTAATCATGGAAGCATATATGTAATCAAGGAAAGCCATGTGTAATCAGTGTAACTAATGTAATCAGGGTATATTTTGAGAGGTCACACTTTACCATCAGGGTACATTGTGAACAGCTTGTGCAGACAATAATAAAATGTTCTATCAGAGTTATGAATTTAAAAATATCAGTGAGTGCCTACCATTGTCATTCTACTTTTACTGTAATAATAGGCAAGATACCTACATATATGTACAACATCTTACCTGGCAGTGAAATATAAATAATTTACCTTGTATAATCAGAATGATTGGTGAAGAAATCTACCAGACAGGCTAGGATATAGATGACTGCAAATAAACAAAATAAAAATCATATACATATGCTATGTTTTAATTAGTGAACATTCAAGTATGAAGTATATCATAACATATAAATGCATTTTACATAATCATAAGCATAATTCATTCCAAGGTCAAGGTCATCAGATCAAAAATATACTGGATTCAATGAAAGGTCTTGTCACAAGGAATGTACATGTGAAATATGAAATCCTTGTGCTTATCACCAACTATTTAAAACTTTAGGCCAAGGTTAAAAAGTATATCAAACTGTAAGGTCAAGGACAAGAGAATTCCCAAAGATATGTCCTGTGATAAATAATTTCGTGAAATATTAAAGCTTTAGCACCAACTGTTCAGAAGTTACAGCCAATGTTAAAGTTTTTGCGGCAAACAGACAGACAGACCAAATGCTAAAACAAAACTTAATCTTCCATTATGAGAGCATAAAAGCAAGATGCAGATCTGAATTATTTTCTAGTTTATATATCTCAAATGGTTGTTTGTATGTCGAACTACAGTGTACCATTTAAAATACACCCAAATAACAGTAAAAAGTGAAAACTTATATACCCTCAACTTAGCATTGCCTCAGGTGAGCCAAAAACCTAACCAGGAAGACTCATGACTTCAATTTCCAAGAATGGAAAGGGGTCAGTTAAAAAACCTCTTATTAAAACAGATGCCATCTGGAAAGAAAAATGTAAGAGACCTGCCAATATGCCAGTGATTCAATGTGAATGTATGGTGTGGGGGGAAGAAATCTGTTAAATATAATTTCCTGTATGATCACTTAGTGCTGGATGTATATCTTTTCATCATACACTGATGATGTTATGGATATCCGGTGGCTGGGGTAGATGATCTACTCTTGTTTATATCAAGGTGGTTTTTCATTAACAATCCCGCTTCCTGTCTGGGAGGGGAAAAGTTTTGGAAATTTTTCAAGGAAAAGTGAAAAATTGAACCCATCCCTTACATAATTATAAATATTGTTAGGTTAAAGGTCTGATAAATTTGGCACAAATGTGGATCTGATTTTTTTTTTTCTGTGTTTTTTCAATCTTTTAAAAATATAATTTTATAACACCCCCCACCCCCCCCCCCAATCAAATTTCAACACATTTTATTATTGAATGCTGAGTACAGATAATATAAATATTTTTATTTGAGATTTTTTTTCTGCTAATGGAATTTCCATATCCACGGTTGAGAACAAATGGCTGCATACAGAAGCAAAAAAAAAAAAAATTATGTTTGCTTGTTCATTGGAGAATAGTCCATTAGAATTGGTTTCTCAAAAAAAAAAAAAAAAAACTCCTCATCTGTATAATTTTTAATTGTGAACTAATGCCTAATGGACACAAAAAATTTCTTTCCTTCACACAATGTCAAAAACCCAAGACACCATTTTAAAACGTTTTGATGAACAGATGACAGAATCTGACATGAAACATTAAAAGACTGTTCCTACTTCCATAGTCATTTCCACCCTTGACACTGTACGAAGTTCTCCACTAAAACAAATTCTGGCTTTGGACTCTCAGGAAGCCATGCATTGCCAAGTCTCACATTTTCATCTATAAAATTTTTTTCTCTGTGTTTTATTTGAACAATGACTAGGGAATCACTTTTAGCAAACAAAAACAATGCAGTGCACTAGCTGGTGCAACTTTAACATTTCATTTCTCTTCTGCAAAATGAAGATAGAATTGCAGGAAACATCATTTTTTGGGTATAATTGGCTTGTTAAAGAAAGTTAAGTAATGCAGGTGTTGTTAGGTGCACTCACACCTTAAGGGGCAAGTACCTATCGTGTAAACCATGATTCTTTTCTTAGAGGTACTCAAAATCCAGAAGTACTCCAAAAGTACAGATTCCTCTATATATAACTTTCACTCTTTTTTCTATTTTATTTCTTAAATTCAATTAAAACTTGGAGTAAAATAGCATGATAAATAAATCTTACTTATTGAGTATATTTGTCAGTCTAATAGGAAATTTTCTTTGCATTGTAGTGCAAAAAAAACTGTTGAAGAAGACAAGTTCTGCCAATGTTGACTGATGCTGAATTTTGAGGAAGTAACAAATTTGGATGATTACTCAATAGAGAAGACAGATTTATTGGGAGAATTCAGACAGATGTCTATACTCACCACACAATCTGGGATTGGGAGGAAAGTTTTATTAATTCAGGAATCCAAATATCTGGGAACAATCACCGGCAGATTTTTTTTGTTTAAGAAATCAGAAATGATGGGGATAAAGCTTAATTACTTTTTTTCGTCAAAAATAAAAAAGTAAAAAAAAAAAAAAAAATCTACAGGATAGGATATATACCGTATTTCTAAGTGAATTCTAAATGACATGGAAATTATTTAACTCTGATTAAATATAAAATCCCAAAATAAATTTCTTTAGAAAAATTAGACATCTTTCAATTTTCACTTTTGTATGTTATAACATGAATGTAAATTTAATAATTAGATGACTTTATCAGGAAATATGTCATTTTTAAATTACCTAATTAATTCACAAAGTAATGACAATAAAAATGAAAAATGATTTTAATTAAAAATATTTGGAAAACTTTAGCAATTACCACAAGAAAACACTGAAAGGTGATTTTTTATAAATGAGGAAAATTCATTGTCAGCACATATTCATAAAAATTATTTTTTTGACATATTTTCCACCTGTAATCAAGTTTTAAAAGATTCATTAATTATATCAACCACATTTTCAACTTAATTCTTTTAAAATTAAATTTTGGATTATGTCAATAACAAGAATCTATTAGTAACTTCGCATTTTCCTATAAAATTAATCAACCATCATTTCTGATTCATAAAATTAATTAGTACCAGAAGTTTTAATTTAAATCGCAGTATATGGGCTCCTCTGCACATGGAAGGCAAAAACCAGAGTTGTCTTTCTTAGCTAGGTTTTAAGCAATACTTGTTGTCTCTCTTTCATTTAAAAAATTCAAGTAAAAAAAAAAGAATATATCAACATCTTTATAATTAAATTCATGCCATCTGAATCTTTGATAGATAGCAAAGAATCATTTGAAAAATGGCAAAAAGGTAGATTCATGCAATACTGAATTTATCAAACACACATGTACAGTTCCTTTTACTGTAGAACTTTTTCTTCGGTCAGTGGATTTGATTAGTGCTCCTATATAAACTTCAAAGCAACAACAAAAGCCAGTCTCTCTGGATTACAGCTCTTCAGAACTCAAGGAAGAATTTATGAATGTAACAAAGCAAAAATGACATCCCCAAATAAATGATAAATCAAAGAAAAAAAATAACAATCTAAAACTGTGATTAACAGTGTGTATAGGGGGTAGCAAATGATACTGCTGGCTTCTATAGTTTGGCAGTCATCGACAGGCAGTGCCAGGAATAACAATGACAGTTAAACTCTGTAGGTGCCAGTACAAGTGCTGCCTGTCTGAGGAGAGGGGAGATGAGATCTAGAACTGTTAATTCCAGAGCCATCAATCCCCTGCTTGGCACTGAGCGGGAACATTGTAAGGAACAAGACTTTCTGTCAGGAACTGACCACTCAGATTGGTTCACAGTCAATCTAATTAAGACAAGCAGCAAAACATACATGTACAGGCAAAACTTTTTTTTCCTTTAGATTTTATCTTTAAAATTCAGCAAAATTGAAGGAAAAAGAGAAGCAACCAGGTATTTGCATCCAAGACATGAATTGATTACAATAATAGAGCTAAGGTTTAAACAAAACTCTTTCAATGACAGGGTTATAATTCAAGTACCCCAATTGCAATCCATGAATATGAGTAAAATTTTTCTTGGAAAGCTCTAGACAATACCATTTTATGTAAGAAAAGTGCATGTATAACATTTTCTAAGCATACCATAAGGCACTATAATTGTTATTTTGTTTTTAAGACTTTAAATTAAATTTGATGCCCCCCCCCCCCCCCCCCCCAATTACAAAAATCATAGAGGTCTTCAATATTTTTGCAGCTAAATTCAATTTTATAGTTTCAGCTATGTAACCAACAAAGTAATATTGCCTATGTCAAACTGTTTCACTATTGTTCCATTGACAGAATAGAATAATTTTTAGGGCAAATGTAATTCTGTTATATTTTGGGATAGGAAAAATATCGTTACAACTGTCTTAATTACTACCATAACTGTATCAATGAGTATCGATAAAAATAGTGAGTCAATCAGGGAATCAATTTATAACTGGGAGTAATTAGAATTTTTTCCACATCACAAAGTTGCAATAAAAAAATCAAAGCCAAGAATCACATACTTGGAAGATCATAGAGAGTGTTGAAGATTCGGAACCGCTGATCGTCCCTCTGCACAAATCGATTGGGGTATATCTGGTGCAGGTCGTGCCTGTGAATATAAAAAATAAACTCGTCAACAAAAATATTGATGGAAGAGAACAATATAACTCCCTAAAACCAGCTCTGGAGAAAGTCAACGTGACAGGGTTAGCAGTAATAAAAAGTATTATTGGCAAAACTGGGTTTTTTGCTGTTGAACAGTATCAATACCATTATAATTCTATTTGTATTTCAGAGGGTTACAATAATTTCTGGCAGAGAACCCAAAAGTTGTATGAAATAGGATCAACGCTCAGCATGAAAACAGGTGAAGTTGATGTGACAAAAGACTGAAGAAAGCTCAACAAAAACATCAAGTGCATTATTTCACTCCCGATTCTTAATTACTTCTTTAAGAAAAACTCTCATGCCATTTTCGTTCTTCTGGAAGCTAAAAGCAGCTACACCCTAGAGTTAATCCACTCCCTGGAATGTAGCCCAATGTGTCAAAAATTTTCAAAGTTCCTACAGGTTTATAACGGATCAACTGTGTAACCATCAGGTTTTAATGGCCTAAAATTTATTGAATTCTGAAACTGTTACATATGTGCTTTCAATTTTCCTGTTACTATCTTTGAATCTGGAGCACAAGCAAGAGTTCAGGAGATCTACTTTCTTTGTTAATTTTTTTAAAACATCAACTGTGTCAGAGCCATCAGGTGATACAAAAGTACATTTTATTCAAAGTTAAGACATGCGAATTTGTTATTGAACAAAAATTTTGTTTAAATAACACGAAGATTACTATCAAATTCTTCTGACATCCACACATCGTAGCACTCAAATCTTGTCAGACTTTCAACATGTAAACATTTATAAATATTTACAGTGAATTTTTCATCAACTCATGCTGCATGTCATACAAGATGACCTCCCTAAAAATAGCATTACAGATGATCTCTCCAGTGAACGTCCATAAAACTGCATACAGAATATGAACCAGAAGTCTCTGTCGAGACTGAAGCTCTACTGGTTTGTACTTATAGCAAAGGAAGAGAAAAGTACTTAAGCAGTTAGAAATTGAAACTTTTCAACAGCAATAAATAGAATAATGATCCTAATGATTAAGTCTCTTTATGTTCTTAGTGTAGTCTACTTGCATGCCACATTATATTATAACCAGACTAAAACTGTTATTTGGAGTAGCATTTTGAGAGCATTTAACAGAAATTTCTATTTTTAGTAACCACGGCAACACCGTTCATCGAAATCAAAAACCGATACACAGAATTATGTATCTTAGTGTAGTCTACTTGTGTGCCAAGTTATATTGAAATCAGACCAAAACTGCAGGAGGAGTAGCATTTTGAAAGAATTTCACAGAAACTTCTATTTCTAGTAACCACGGCAACACCATTCATCGAAATCAAAAACCGATATACAGAATTATGTATCTTAGTGTAGTCTACTTGTGTGCCAAGTTATATTGAAATCAGACCAAAACTGTAGGAGGAGTAGCATTTTGAAAGAATTTCACAGAAATTTCTATTTTTAGTAACCACGGCAACACCGTTCATCGAAATCAAAAACCAATATACAGAATTATGTAACTTAGTGTAGTCTACTTGTGTGCCAAGTTATATTGAAATCAGACCAAAACTGTAGGAGGAGTAGCATTTTGAAAGAATTTCACAGAAATTTCTATTTTTAGTAACCACGGCAACACCGTTCACCGAAATCAAAAACTGATATACAGAATTATGTATCTTAGTGTAGTCTACTTGTGTGCCAAGTTATATTGAAATCAGACCAAAACTGTAGGAGGAGTAGCATTTTGAAAGAATTTCACAGAAATTTCTATTTTTAGTAACCACGGCAACACCGTTCATCAAAATCAGAAACCGATATACAGAATTATGTATCTTTGTAGTCTACTTGTGTGCCAAGTTATATTGAAATCAGACCAAAACTGTAGGAGGAGTAGCATTTTGAAAAATTGTTTACAGACGGACAGACAGACAGACAGACAGACAGACAGACGGACGGACGACGGACGCATTACTATCGCATAAGCTCTTCTGGTCTCTGACCAGTAGAGCTAAAAATGAAATAATTAATTGCCCGAAAATTGTCTGACAGACTGACACTTGCAGAGTATGGCAGTTGAAGCTAGAGAAAGTGCAAGTTAACGTCAGTGCAGTCCAGAAGAAGTTGACTTGCGTGTAAAATCTCAAATTGTATCAAATCGTATCAGTAAATTATTAAAACAAGGATGTAACAGGGACTGCACATCACTATTGATTACAAATCTCTCCATGTTGCGAAATTAAGAAAAACATGTTCTATTCATTATCAATTACAGAGATGGGAAAAATATCTTACTACAGGAACATAAATACATGATGTAATACAAAATTTTGACTAAATATTCCACTTAATATATCATCTTAAATTTTACTCAACCTATTATTTCATAATTTTTTAAGATAGATTAAGTGAACAACACTGTATGTACATAATACGCTTAATTTTGTTTTGAAATATGCCTGGCTTGGATCTTTATGATCTTTATATTTCGGACGCAAAAAGGAAGCACAAAAAAAAATCAAACTGATCAAGACAGCTTCCTTTAATTTGTCAAACTTTCCACACCTTCTGAACTGTAATAACATTTTATGTAACAAATATAGATTTGGTACAGGAAAGTTACAAGGGTTTTTAATTGCAATCACTCCTATAAAGAAACCATACCAATATACAGACTAATATGACAGATGTTGGAATTGTTTCAATTAATCAAAATACAAAAGACTTTTATAAGCATCATTTGCAAATAATAATACCAAGCACAAGAAGTTCAAAAACCTTGAAAAAAAAAAAAAGTAAAAAATTCGGAGGATTTTAATTAAAGGGCAACTCGTGTATATCCTTCTGACAAATAGTTCAATTGCAAGGAAATGCATCCCAGGTGCAAAACAAAAAGAATGAGAAAAGCAATTCATAATTTTTCTCACCTACACCAAAAGCATACTTTTCTACTTACAGACTTTTATCTAATATCTTACGAAGAACAAAGAAACTGAAGGAAACAAAAGCGGCCTGTAAAGCATCAATTCCCAACCCCTGGGAAACATTAGCCAATCTATTGCATACAGGCTTCCATTTCTTAATGAGATCGTTTAATAGATTTATGCCCGTGGTGTCATATTTGACAAATTGTGATTGAATACATGCATGTGCTAGGGCTTATATCTTCCTCCACATAAAAAAGAGCAGAACTTGCATAAGTAAAACTTATATTCCTGTTTCTATAGCAACTCAGTTTTTGAAAGGGGTAAAAAGCCATCTTGAGATCATTTGATTTTCAATGGGGCCACCTGTCTTTTGTTTTCTAAGCTTTTTATGCATCTTAAGTGTATAGCTAGATGGGTAAAAGCTAGTAAAGAATATGACCCACAAACTTTTTAAAACCTTTTTCAAGAAAACACTATTATCGATAACTCAAGTGTACATGTTTGAGAGATGATACAATTCTAATGAGAATAAAGGTGTTTAAATGATGTATAGCTTTTGTTTTTCTTCTTTATTAAAATAAAATTTTTAAAAATTTTTCATTTTTTTTTCTAGTAAACACTGCATCAAACTGAAAATGTCCAAAATGACCTCTTGAAAATGATGCTCAGGCTTAACGATCATGTGCTTGACTCCGGGTTCATCATTTCGACCAATGAAATAATATTTTCGTACTCACTTACATGGCGAACATAAAAATTACTGGGCAGATTTCAAAAGTCATTTGCTACGGTAGCTGTATGCAGGTAATACCCCTGTGATGTAAGCTATGGCTGTTACCACGTGTCCAAACATCTATATCGTTGGCAGTAATGCAATGGATGACGTTCTATGGTACACATATTTCTTAAGACTCGTGGCATTTCCACCAACTGTTGTTTTTCATCAAACGAGATTGTGATGCATTAGTAATGGCAAATTTTCTACGCATCATTTTGGAATTGAGGAATAAAAGAGAATGAACGGAATTTTCTGCCCTTTCAGCCGCGAAAATAAAAACAACTCCTGGAAAAGGCATCAGGCAATGAGAAGTGCAAACAAACAAAAAAATAAATGTTAGCTTTTCAATTATCACTAAAACCAACACACTTCATACTGAACCTAGCTATATATTGAAAGTGTCTTTTGTAATATGTTTGTTACCTTAACCTATTTTTGCTTTTTCTCAAAACTTCTTGAAAGTAAAACAAGACAGCCAGCAAGCAGGCACACTTAAATATGATATATTATGGTGCTATTGTGAAACATGCAATGTCAAACAAAGAGGTTCTCAACTGTCAAATAGAGACTGTAAAAACACAGACAATTGGGTAATTAGGGGCACCCTAAATAAAGATGAAATATCTCCAGCATCTACAATGACTTAACAGTTAAGTGCATCTCAGTTATATTTTTTTCTAGCCTTTCTCTTACACAAAATGATATTTTTAATTTTAATTCTTATTATAATTATAGACTGAAACAGCCTCTTTAAATTAATTGTGCAAAAATGAATAACATAAATGTAGCAGTAGCAATTGTCAAACCTTGACAACACTTTGGTTTATAACTCTAAGACCAATTTTTTAAGTGAAAAAATCTGATTTAATAGGAAGTTAAATAATTCTCTTTTCTAACCATCTGCCTGCCTTTTGGGAACCCATTTTATGAAAAAAAAAATGCACAAAAACTAGATGCAAATGCGCATGACATACCACCAGCTTTACATATAGGCCCAAGATCAAGAAACCAAAATTCTGATACTTTTCACCTGTTCTCATATAATTAATGTCAATTTTTATGTACACTTCAGCTCTTCTTTATTAATGAGAAGTGATGAAAAGTGACTTGTGATACACCTCTTTAACGAATACAAAGTTTTCGTGCTAATTAAATTCCTTACCGGATCTTAAAATGAAAGATTTATCCTCTTTTTATAGTTTTTTTTTCTAAACTGTAAATTTATATTTTAGTAATGTTTAATAAAAGAGGTCACACGAAATTATTGGGTACTCCAAA